ATGTGCATTTGCTTTGGCTTTGGCTTTTCACCAGAAATATAAATTAGAAATTATTGGAGCATCAGCAGTTTTTCGGGGTTGGCTTCTCGCCCCTTTGGCCACAGCCAGCCAGCGGCGAGCGGCCAGCCAATTGATTTCAAGTGGCAGCAAAATTGTGTAATAAACATATATGGGAACAGGCATCAAATAATAATTGAAGTACATCCACAACTTCAATTCAATTGAAAGTCGATGGCCATTAACAAGAACAACAACAACCAAAACAACAACAACAGCAACTGCCTCCAGCAGCTGAGACAACTGAAAGCTGAGCTGCAGGCGCGCCTTATAATGTGAAATGAGGCACAATTAAACGCACCCAAATACACACACAAGCACACGCACACACACACTTGCTACGCAGGACACGCATATTATCAGCGTGTCGGCTGTGTAATGGAAACTGCAACAGAATTAGAGCAGAAATTACGAGTATGACTGTGACCGAAGCACGGCTGTTCGTCTCACTACGACTGTTGCAGCCATTTTTAATACCCTATAAATACATTTTTTATGAGCAGTATATCGTTATACGCGAGCCACATGCTGCTAAATCCATTAAACAAAACAAATAAATTTTTAAAGCCCATTTAATTCCTCATAATATGAGAAGAAAAATCTTAAAATATAAATATTTGTGGTAAATTCACCAAAATTATTGGAGCTATTTAAAAAAAAATAAAAATTTAGGTCAATCTAATAAATATTGTTATTGCAAACACCAAAAACTAAGCAGATGCAAAATATTCCATGAATACTGCTTTAAATTGGATTCAAACGAATTACTCTTCTATGGAAGTTATGAATCTAGGTAGTAGATTTACGCCTATTAATAATAATAATAATTTTAATAATAATAATAATTATTATTATAATAATAACAAAAGGCATACTTAAAAATAACAATATTAATAATAATAATAAATAATAATAATAATAATAATAACGGGAATGCTGAAAATGATGAAAAAATATAATAATAATAATAACAATAATATTAGTCATACAAAAGTAATAATAATTATTATTAAAATACAAACACCAACAAGCATAAAAACTATAATATATAAAATAATATTTTAATAAATAATTTATGGTTAGAAAGGGATTCCATGTCATAAATAAATAAATTGCAATGTCATTCAAATAAATTTTAGGATCAGTTAGAAAATGTAATAGATATATTGATCAATTTCTTAATAATAATAAATGTTTATTCAATCTACAAACATAGATATTGGCTGATAGAATTTGAGAAACACGCTTGCAATATTCAGTTTACAGTTCGTGATGTTATATGCCAAATGCTAGTTCCCATCCAACTCAAATTAGCATGTATATGAAAGAATTAAAAGAAGAAAAATAAGCTCAATGCCATTCTATATGCCCATCCCTGAGCCTCTGATCACATTAAGTACAGGGTACCTCACAGGCACATACGAACGTCTGCCTGTAACATTGCCTCTAAGTGCGAGTCACATTTTGGTTGGTGCATGTAATCAATACCGATTGTTATGGTTGTGGCAACGGCGGCATCATGAATGTCTGCCTTGTGGCATTGGCAAAAGCTCTATCTCTCCGTCTAGATGGCCAGCTCAAATTGCGAATACAAAATCAGAGTGCATGCCATATACCAATTTGTGTGTTTGGCGTAATTAAGAGCATAGCCGCATTTCATTGCCTTACTCTAATTGCCAACGGTCTGGCTACGAGTCCAGCTGTGCCAAGCCATCTAATTAAAACTATTCAATCGACAGTCTTTAAATATGTTTCAACCCGCCTGACTAAAGACACTACAAAACGTGAGGGCATGAGCGTGAGTGAGTTCTTTTCTCTACCTTTTTCTCTGTTAATATCCAGACTCTTCAGTAAACTTAATTCTATAATTTTCAAGTGGAAAAAGTGTATAAGACAAACATTTTTAAACAGAATTTCTTTATGTTCCCCTGCTTTCTCTTTCCTCTGAGACGAAGCAAAAAAAAAATTAACTTTAACTATTGCCATTAAAACAATGCAATAAGTTTCATAATAGTTGCTAGTTATTAACATAATTATTTTTTTTGTTGCCGTAATTTCTCTCATGGGGCAAGGTGATTTCGATGCAAACTGCATCAGTTAAAAGTTTTTTTTATTCATTTTTTGCGTATCAAGCTCGAGTTTCAGCTGCCCGCGAGCACTCGCTAACGACTTTGAGCTAATTACCAGATAATTTTTGTGGTAGTAAAAGTTCTTATTAGATTAGACAATCAAAATACGCGCATAGTTTTAAATGAATAACTATTTAAATATTGAGCGGTTACATTTTCACAAAGTTCGAAAGAATATACGTAAGAGCTTTAAAGCTTGGACACAAAGTAAACGTCCTTACCAGAGCTTTATAAATGTCCCCATTTCGGTACTTTTTAGCTAAGTTTCTAAAGCACAGCAATCTTTTGTTGGGTTATAAGCCCTAGAAAGCTTAAAGCTCTTATTCATTTTTAAGCTTTCAAATTTGACCTTGAATTCAGTTAAAGCTTTAAACAAAGCTTTAAAGACGTAAGCCAATTATTTTCAATTTCCAGTTTAAGTTTTTAACTGAAGAGTAAGGCCTTGAAGCTTTTTAGAGACTTCCAGATTTGGTTTACATCCAAACTAAGCGTCGCTTTTAAGAAAACAAAAGTATTTCCGGTTTGGGTTCTCGTATTGGATAAGCATAGTTATTTTTAGCACAATCTGATCTAAAAACTAGAATCTCATGTAAACCGATAAACATTGTACATATATCAAGGCTTAAAGGAACAATCCTTACATAATGCCTAGAAATACGTATATAAAGATATGTATTCTGATAATATGAATGGACTTAAAGCGCAATCGACAACAGACTTCGGGGAATTCCCTATGTCTTTAATACCTTGATTGACATATGGACTTGACAACGACAACAAATTAACTTGGCAATAAGTTTATCGGATTATGGTCGAAATACACTACCAAGGAGCGCTCAGTGTCGGTTGAGCGCAATTGAGTTAATCGCATTAAAGCAAAAGCTCACATGCATAAAGTAATCACATGAAAAACTGGGGTAAAAGGACGAAAACGAACCCTATCTTGGAATAACGAATGGAATCAGAGGAAAAGCTGCTAATAATTAAAGAATTAAAAAAACTCAAAGCCAGAACGCAATTTGAGAACTTTTGGTTTTGCTGAATTTGACATCAAGTTTATTGTGTATTTCTTTTAAATATTGAATATTTCTGTCTTTAATAACATTAATTAAAACATTTAAAAACGTTTAAGAATTTCGCTTGAACCTATCGACCAAAATTTCTGTCATATTTAGTAAATATACATATAATATAATCTCTACGGTACATACAATACAATAAATTCTGCTTAAATATATATAAAACACATGAACTCTGCCCGGTTAAAATATACGAATATCATATACATATAAAAGTCATATGCACAAACTTACACAGTTAAGTATTATCGTAGAATGCTTACATCGAGAATAGAATGAAGCACAAGTCTTTATAGTTGTTGGGAACATTTACATATAAATACATATATACACTAGCTTTTGCAACTACCAGATAGTTAGAAATATACAGAGTTATATTTGATTGGTATTTATACCAGCTTTCAACAGATACCATCTAATACTTAAGACTACAAATAATTTAGCTTATATATGTCCTAGTCCTTAGTAACTCACGTTCTATGCTTAGGTGGATCCTTTGCATTGCCCACTCTATAAAAATAGCTGTATTATTTTGATATTAGATGTCCTGCGGTCCAACTCACATGCCCGACAACTACTACATGAAATCACAAATTCTAATCATTTTCACTTTATAAGTAAAAACTGTAATTTTCCATGTTTTGTGTTTATATTTTTTCTTTGCGCAAACGATTGTCAAATATTTTATTTTTAATTTTAATTTTTTACACATAGTTGAATTCTTTTTCTTTTTGATTTATTGATGTAAATTATTTGCCTTACATTTTTTTTTCATACCCACATCCTATAAATTTGTCTCTTAAACGTTGCCTAACTATTATACTCTGCTGTACACCTTTTAGTAGTTTATTTAATTTTAAAATTTTTGAATACATATGTATATTCAAATATATTCTTTTATTTGTTTATTGAGCATTAAACACTTCACAATTGATCAAATATTATTATATTATTTCTTTTATTGAGCGTAAGTTTCTTTCCTTTGCTGTCTCTGATATATGTTCTTTGAAATTTGTACTACAGACCTCACAGTTGGATAACCTGACAAATTTCTGGGATATTTGCATATTGTACAATAAATATATATTATCATACACATAGATACATCAAGTTCCTGTAGTTGACATTTAACATTCAGATATATATAATATTTAATTTTCAATGAATAGTAAATATTTTAACATGTATATAGGTATTTCTTCTTTATCTAAATGTATGTGTGTGTGTGTGAGTCTGTTGCATAAATGCATTGTCTGAATCCTTGCCTGCTCCATATTTAAATATACCGCATTAGAAGAATATTATGTTTTTAGCTTTGTTTGATTTTTTTTGCACTTCCCATTGACAGCCTCACATTCACATGATAAGAGCGCAGTATTTGCACATTTTTGAGTTAATTGTTTTGCTTAAGTCTTAAAAAAATAGAGTTTTCGTAGTGGCTATAGATCTGATATGCTAGGAATACATATGCTTTGTTTACTTTATAATTATGCTTGATTTCTTGTTTTCATAATCTTTAAATAAAAAACCACTTAATCGTTGGATTAATCTTCAAAAAACAAAAGGAAAGTGAACAATTTGACGAGCTTTCAAAGCTTTATTGTATTGGCCAAAGCTCAACCTTGAATCTAAATAGTAATGTTCAACTCGACTTGCTGCAATAAATATTGACTGTGGCAATATATGAAATGCAGAAAAAAAACAAGTTGAAAGCACATGAAAACTGGAATGTGTTCATATGGCTTCTGAGCTTTAATGTGCTATTAAAGTCAATCGCTTATGAGAGCATAGCTCGACTGTCTGTAATATATTTTTTATCTGTGCATGCAACTAGGAATCCACGCGAAAGCTTTAATGTGCTTTCAGATATGTATTGCAACGAAGCCTGCTATTGAAAGCCAATCACAAGCTCGTGAAAGCTTACTAAAAACGAACTTAATCGACACAATAATCTTTTTATTTTGTGGCTTTTATCAGTGAAACTTGATAAGACGCTCAACGCACAAATAAAACAAATTAAGCAAAACTGAAGGGCAATAAATTTATAATCAATGTGTGTGTTTGTGTGTGTGTGCGCGCGTGTGTGTATAACTGTAACTGTATTTGTTGATATCTTATAGATATTAAAAGTAAAAGCGTCTTCGTATTTCAGTATTAATTAGCAAATAAATCACGCACGTCGGCATGCATGTAAATGAATCCACACACGTCTGCCCACGTTTGGCAACCTTGAAGCCACAGCCCACCCTCATGGAAACCAAAAGCCACCCTTTCCCTTTCCCACCTTTCAGCCCAATTGCCAGCTGCCAAAACAAAACGCCCAGCATAAACAATGCAGCCCCGCAGCCCCCACATCCCGCTTACTTTGCGTTGGGATCGCGCAATGAGCGCGTGGAGGGCAAACCACGCAAGCCCTTCTCCAATTTATCCGCATCGCCGGCGGAAAAGCGGAAATTCATTGTCTGTCCCAGGCTCTGGCCCTGTGCCTGGCTCTGGTTGACGCCTAACAAAAACCGACTGCGCTGCTTGCCGGCGACAATGCCGTTGGCTGCTTCGCTGCTGCCGCTGCCGCTGCCCACATCAACCATGGCACTGCGCGAGCCGCGCCTGGGTCCTAGGAGCTCAATGCTCTCCTCTTCGTCCAGGCCATAGCTGGCCACGCTGGCAGCTGGCACGGGCACAGGTATCTTTGCCGGCGGCGAGTACTCGGCATTTGCCTCGGACAGGCGTCGGTATTCGCCGCTGCGCGAATGCTGCAGCTTCCACGAAGCGCGTCGCGTATTTGCGACACTGTGGCTGCTGTTGCTGCAGTGCACCGAGGCGTTGGTGGTGGTCAGATTGCCGGTGCTCTGCGACACGAGACAGTTGGAGCCGGAGCTGCTGCTGGATAGGCTGGAGTTGCTGCCACCGCTGCCGCTGCGACGCATGCCCCGTTTGCTGCGGTGCAACTGATGCTGTTGCTGCTGCTGCTGCGGCTGTTGTTGTTGCTGTTGTGATTGCAGTTGTTGCTGCTCCTGGAGCAGCTCCTGGCCAGCTGGCTGCTCCTCAGGCGTTAGCAGTGCATCGGTGCTCTTGCAACAGCTTTGATGACTGGCGGAATGCTTCATGGTCCAGCGAAAATCATTGGAGTTCTCATCATCCAGCGGCGGATAGACGCGTCCAGTTGCCAGCGGCGGCGGCAAACGTTCCTTGGAGCTGCTCAAGCTGGGCTCCGTTGCCAGCGGCGAGACGCACTCATCGATGGTATTTAGTGGCGAGATTTGCAGCACTTGCTTCTGCTGCAAGAGCTCAATTTCATTCTTGATGGCCGGCTCAATGCCCAGCAGGCCCAACACCAGGCGCGGATTGGCCAGCACAAAGCGCTCAAAGGTGGGAAAATCGATGCGATAGAAATCCGTTTGACAGCTGCGACTCGTCTTCGGTGTGGCTGGCTCCACGCTGGCCGGCGACGCGGCCTTTGAGCTGGGCGCTGTGCCCATGGCCGGCAGCTGCATTTCGCGTCCCCACACCTCGGGCGGGTGTGAGGAGCTGCGCTGCAAGGCCGCCGCATCGTTAACCATGCCCATGGCCAAAGTGCCGCCCATTAGCGGCACATCGCCGCCAGCCAAACCCAGGCCAGCCCTTGCTGCCGCAACCCCACTGATGTTGGGTATGGAACGCGCCGGTGGAAATTTGAGCGAACCATGCGAGCTCATGGCAGCGGATGAATAAGTCATTTCCTGCAGCGCGCTAATTGCATTGCGCACCTCAGCGCTCAGCTGGGCGACATCCTGATGCAGTGTGGACACCTGCGAGTCGAGACGCTCCAGCGAGGGACGTTTGCCGCCCGCCTCCTCCTCAATGGTGGGCTCCACCTCCTCAAAGGAGTTGCGATCCAAGCTGTTGGCCATGTTTAGCGGACGCTGTCGTTTGTTTGGCTCCCGCAAAGTTATCAAGGAGCGTCCACGCTGATGCAATCGCTGATGACGCGGACTATTCATGCCCAGCAGCGGCGACCGTGTGATGCTGTGATGCGGCGAAGGCGATGTTGATGTTGACAGAGGACCGCCTGCAATTCCGCCAACAGCTGCTGCAGGTTCCTTATCCTGTTCGCCATTGCAATCGGCCTCCTCACGATTCTCATCATCCTCACTGATGCTGGGCAACGGAAATGTGGGTCCAATGTCCGATTCTTGATTCTCGTAGCCCTCACGCAAATTGAATGTCAGATCATGCTGTATGTCATTCGCAAACTGCTGCTGGTACTCCGGATATAGTCGGAGCACCTCCACCAGACCGCCCATGTGTATGCACTTCAGATCGCAGTAGGTGAGCGCCTACAAAAAGGAAAACACGAAAACGTTTTATGTTAAATGATTATGCACTACTCTCAAGTCTGTTGCCTGCCCTGCCTGCCTTACCCTGCCTGCAGGGGCCTCTCAATGAGTTCCCAACAGCAGGAGACTATATTTTTAGTACACAAGGCCAGGGCCCATGGGGAGCATTGACTACAGCTAAAATTTCTTCTTAAATAAAGCTTTAACTAGCTTATTACTCAGTTACAAATTTCAGTTTTATAACTTCATAAGTAAGCGCGTAATTTAGACTGCATAACTCGCACAGATTTGGATATAACTATTTATATAATTATTTTAATTATGATTTTATCATTAATATATTAATTGAGTTTTTAATGTGCACTCCAGTTGCAGCTAAATTTCGGCTTTATATAATTATAAATTCTTCTGTCAATGTATATGTCTACTATTTTCACTTCATGCCAAATAAAAATATCTGTGAAGCATATAATATCATTTTCAACACCTCCTTTGCTATTTGAGTTCATAATTAGTTTATAAATAAATTTTAAGCAAAACATTCTCGCATAATCTTATATTAAACTTTCGTTTACTTCTATAATTAATATAAATAAAAAACCATGTATACAAAATAAGCAGCGTAATAATAAGTTTAAATATTACAATTTGTTAAAGCACATAAAAGCCAATATAAAATAATGAATTATGTTAAAAGAAAAAATAATACATTTCATGATTTTTTATAAACGTTGCCTTAGATATATTTAGTCAGTCGCGCACTTCACATTCTCTTTTATAGAGCAACACTTAGTCGGCTTGACTTTAACTTTTTCCACTCAATAATGTTGGCGCTTTGGCGTCTTCTTTACATGCTCAAGTGCACCATCTTGGCGCACACACACACACACGCGGACAAGCACGCGTACACACACATTACGCTTAAGTATCACTCATACGCCCCGTTGTTGCTCTTGTTGGCTGACTGCCACTTCGGGCCGTACCTGGAGTGGTGCCTCAGAGAGCGCCCGCTGCGTGCAGCACAAGGCAAATGTCTGCGCTTTATTTTCGACATGGAGGCAGACATGCAAATAAACTGTCCACAAAGGCAAAAGCAACAACAACAACGAAAGCGAAAGTAAATGCTAAAGAAAAGCGTACAAAATAAATGACTGGGAAAATGGATAAACAGAAGCACAAAAGCATTTTCCGCACGCCCACAACTATGAATTAATTGCCATGCTTTCCACTAATTAAGCGATGATCTCTTAATTTAAATTTAAATCATACGCCCACGTTTTTCAGGCGAATTCGCCCCGACACATTGTTGCATTCATTGACTGACATTTATGCAAGCCACACATAATTCGCCTGAGGCTTTTGCGGCCAGTTTACAGGCACTTTAAATTTGGAAAAATAACCAGAGAAAATATTGAATATACTATATGCCACGTTGCAGTCAAGTGGAAAGTCGTCTGTAGATGCCTAAATGCTCGAACGGCGCGTCGTTTGTCTGCACTTAACGTGATAAAATTTACGAGAAGCAAACAGACAACATGAAATAATGAAAATAAACAAATGCGCAAAAGAGTGCAAACAATGCTTGAACTTTAAGCTTTGCCTTTAAAAGACAGCCTCGATAAAAACATAATTAACGCAAATAGAAAAGAAAAAAACAAAACAATAAAATTCGTATAAACATAAAATGTATTTAATTAAAAGCAAACGCAACCCAACTAGAAAGAAGAGGACATCGTAATGCCCAGCATTTGAATAATAAGCGAAATATATTTTAAGTTAAATGACATTGGTTCAAACTGTGGATTAAGTCTTGGGCTAAAAAAAATTGTAACTGTTGCTTGTTTTAAATAAGTATAAATTATTTAACATAAAATTATTTTGTTATATATTGAAACAAAGCTTTAAAAATTTCGAAATTTAAAAACTTTAAATAAATTACATATAAGAAAATGCTCAAGCATGCAGTAGATTCCCATGTGCTGGGAGAAAGCTTAAGCTTAAGTGCAAAAGCTGCTTAAAAAGCTATGACATAACAATATCAAAATTAAACAGCTTAACACATGCATGATTTGTGTGTGCAATTAGACAGCTTTGCCTTAGCTTTAGAGGCATTTAATATAATAGGAAGATTAATACAAAGCTTTGCCTTAGCTTTAAAAACACTTAATTTAATACTAAGTTTACTATGTTTCTTTAAGAAGTAAAAACACTTTTTAAGTAAAGAGCTGAAAAGCACATTAAAGCTTCAGCAAAATTAATTCTAATTACTGATTTGACTTGAAGCCCAGCTGAATAACTGCCTAAAATATATGATTACGTTTTTAGCTGGGAATCCGTCTACATATATTGTATTAAATTTTGTATTGCCCATTTTCTGCTGGTGTCATTTGAAATGTGCTTACCTTTATGTCGCTGCTGCTGCGTACGACAACATCCTGGCCAGCGCTGTTTGTGGTAGCGGTCATTTGTCCGTTGCTGGTGGCAACCAGATGCACATTTATGTCCGAGCCCACGAGATCGCCCTTGCCTATATGTATATGTGTGTGTGTGTGTGTGTGCGTGTGTGTTTGTGAATGTTTGCGTGTGTTTAAAACAGAGAGAAAACAAAAGGTCAGTCGCTAAGTAAGAATCAATAAGCATAAAAATAGCAGCCATTTGTCTAGGCCACGTCGTGAATGAATAAACAAGCAGCTGCCTGCCTGGGCCAAATGGTAAAGCCAAACAGTGAGAAGCGAACGAACTTTCGAGTTCAATAAACGCCTTCAATAAAGATAAACAAAATGGAAACATGGCCATTTAAGCGAACGCGACTTGAAATCCTAAAGTACTTCAAACACGCTCAAACCAACAGCGAATCGAACAGTTAAATGAATGCACTCAAAACTTACCCAAAATGGCGACAACCATGTCGTCCTTGATCACTTCCATGGAGCCATTGCACAGATAATATATATAGTTGAGTGCATCGCCTTTGTGTATCAGATATTCGCCGGGTGCGCAAAAGTTCGTCTTTATGTGCAGTGACAACAATTTCAGGCAGCCCTGCAACAACAACAACAACAATAACTAGAACATGAAATACCGAAGTGAGAATTGGACGTAAATAAGATTTGATTCAAGTTTGTTCCATTGCGTTGAGTGGGTCAAGGAGCAACAGGCGAGCTCCAGTGTGCAAATATCGTGAACTTTCTGTGTGGCAAGCTGCATATTGGCCGCGCGGTTCGGTGGCTGCCACGAAAAGTGGCTTAACGCGCGCTTATTGCCGTTGAGTGGTTTCTGTTTGCCATCTCTGCATAAGCTTTATCAATGTTTGCACTTCGTATTGTCGTTCGCTCGTTCAGTTTACTATTTTATGCTCAACTTGCATTTGGCGTGTTTTGTTGATTCTCTGTGCGAGAAAGTTTAAAATTTAATCGGCTAAGAAAATGTCAGGGTCATGCCATAGTCTGCTTCCAGTTGATAAAGCCGTCCGTATTCAGCACTTTGCTGGACAAACAACAACATTTCTTCTACAAACTGTTAATAAGCTAAGCTGGCTTTTTCTTTTCATCTATATTAAGCTGGGGGCAATCTTTATCGATTCTCACAGATTGCAACATAAATTCAAACATGGTAAGTCAAAGATTTGTTTGCAATAAGTAGACTTTACTAAATAAGCAATGGACTTAAGCAAGGCCAATCAGACTCATAGTGTAAATAACATTTTAATATTAAAAATATTTATAAATACTTTTAAAAAAATCAATATATCGGTCAAATTACTAAAGAAGTCGAAGTTGGTCAAATATTTGTCTATTCTAATATATTGCAGCATAAATTCAAACATAATCAGTCAAGATTTATTTGCAACAGACTTAAACAATACATTTGAGCAAATCCATTAAATTTATAGCTTAAATTTCTTTAAAAATCATTTAAATATTTTCAACAACAAATATTTTTTTAAATATAAAAAAACATTCTATGGCCAATATTTAACAATCGAAAGATAATTATTTCAAATGTAAATATACAAAAATGTATTAATCTTATACTTTTATTCGAGCATTTCTATTATTATTGAATTTTTAACAACTTGTAATCCGATATAACTAATAAATTCTTGAACGCAAACAAAAAATCGTTGCCTTTTTTTTTAATTAAGAAAATCTTTTACGGAATTCTCATTTATGTTTTGTCCCTAGCCGGGCACCTATAAAGTCCCAATTGCTACTTATTCAGAATGAATAATTTCATGTTGCAATTTTTTATGACTAGTTTTCTTCCAACAGTCTTTTTTGCAGCCAAAGTTGAGTCCTTCGCTACAATTGGCTAAATGCTGTACTCAAGTTGGAAGTTCAACTCAGAGAGCAACTGTAAAGTTTGCTTTATCCTTTTCTTGACCAACAAACTTGGCAAGAAAATCGAGAGTCGACCGTACGGAAAACTTTCCGGGTTTGTCAGTAAAGCAATGACTCGACCTTGTGGCGATAATGCAAGTGAAGCTTAATTGGAAAATCAATTACTCTAGACGCACACGAAGCACGCTTCAGATTTTGGCACCATTTACCACGCACAAATGTCAGTTTGTGAGTGTCTGTGTGAGTGTATGCCACAGCTTAGTGTGGAAAATGACAAGGGTATTGACATTGTCGTCTACGATAAACATCACAACTCGCACCGTTGCATTCGCTTTTACTGCGACTAGCCCTCTCCTTCTCGCTCTTTCTGTCTCTATCTTCCTCGGTGTAACTCTCACACTTTCTCTTTCTCAGTCTCTGTTTATTTGTGGCCAAACGTTTTGCCTAAAACCTTTTTCATGCCTCAGTCGTTGCCGTGTCGAGCTGTTGGCCAAAAGGCACACACGCGCAAATCATTTAATGTATAAACGAAACTTTTACCTGTGCAATGGGATGGGCGTGTGTGTGTGTTTGACGGGTGGGTGTGGGTGTGAGTGTGTGCGTCTGTTAAGCCAGCAGTTGACTTTTGACTGCCCTGGCCAAGTTAGCTGGCGATTATTTTGGCATCAGCATCAGCACCATAAGACCATTTGTTTGAAAGCTTGTATGGCTTTTAAAGCGGCGTCGACCCCAAGAATAACATGAAAGGCACCAGGGAAACAAACACACACGAACACACGCACACACACATAGCTATAGATACGACTCACCTGTGAGGCAGCCTCGAATATCGGCAGCTGTAATATTTCACGATGTAGATGCATGGAGACATCGCCACGCAGCTCCTCCGGAAATTCGCGCAGCGTCTGTTAACCAAAAAAAAAAAAGAGCGAGAGAAAAGCAGAATAAGTAAGAGTGAATGAAAGAGGGTTATGGTAAACACGAGTGTCAAGTGCCGGATCCCAAAACTTACATATCCTTTAAAGCAACACACACACACACACATACATAGTTGCAAATTGAATTGAACGAAATTGTAAGCATTGGACTTTCTTCTTTCTTTTTTTTGGTCCTTGCAGTTTTTTCCGTCATTCTCTGCCGTACTTTTCATACGTAATATGCAAAATAAATATCTCTGTCTCCTGCGCATTTTGTTTCGCTTTTTTTTATTATTTTGTTTATGTCTCAGTCCCAAAGGTGCGGGCAAGTGTATTGGATAAAATTGTTGAGAGGATTAATAGGAAAATTGAAAAGCTTTTGCATTTTGTTTGTTTACATTTTTGTTTCGTGGTTGCCCTCGTTTCTTTGCTTCAGATACATAAGTATATAACCTCAAGGGACTTTCAGTACACACAAAAAGACACATATATGCCTTGAATATGTGGCTATCTGTTGAATTTATGAATGAATATTACTCAAAATTTGTACGCTTGCGTATCTTCGATGTAATTTGTTTGACAACAAGATGTAAACAAAATGCGTGAGCAAATATTGTTCATTGGTGTATGGCATGCGACGCACTTGACTTCACAAGCAAACAAACAGGAAGGTTAACAGGAAAGTTAAGACCTCTGCAAGTAAATGCTTTTCTAACCTTTTCCGGCAGCAGGTTAAAACAGCAAAGTCTAGATTTCAAAATAATTCCTTTTTGCAAATTAACGAATTAATTTTAGACAAATATCGGAAAAGATACCAATATGTGTAAGAAGAGCTGAGAAAGCGCGTTAAGGTTGAAGTGAAAAACCTTGAAGCTCAAGTTTACGTAAAGGCTGTCCACTCTTTTAACAATATGATTTAAAAAGCCTTAACATTCATTTAAGGTTTTTAATAATCCAAAAAATAATTATTATTAAATAGTCGAAAGGCTTGTTTAGTTAGCTAACCATTCCCTCTAACATTCTTTCCCATTATAGTTAATTTCTATAGAAGCTTTAAATATACTTAAAGCTAAATTTTATTAGCCCTATGTAGTTTTTTTGGTTAAAGTTTCGCTCGTTCATGAAAAAATAAATGAATCTGTAGAACATTGATGTATATAAAGAACAAATATTGTGTGAAAGCTATCACAGATGAAATATTAAACGAAATTTAGTAGATATAATCCCACAATACTGGTATTTAATTCAATTGAATGCAATGCACATTCATTGATTTTAAGTTCTACGAAATATTCAGTAAACAATATATGTTAGAAATTTGCATTTATAGAGAAGTAAGATTTTCAATGGAAAATTAACAGTACGTGCAGAACGCACACAATAGTGATAAAATCAATAATATGAGATATGTATAAGTTTCAACTTAGTCGAATTTAGAAACTCATTTTCTGTTAGCCACAAAACCATCAAGAAATGACAGTAATTTTTTTGGTTAACTGAATGTACGGAATGTTTCTCTGAAATTACTCTTGTGCTTTCGAGTATTATTTATGTTGACATGGGCAAAAATTTAACTAAGAACCAATACAAACAGCAACAAAAACTACCCAATAAAAGTATGTAGAAAGTTTAAAAAGCCCGCGCCGGGTGTGTGTGTGTGTCTGAGTTTGAATATTTACTTATTTAATGGAACATTTCCCCGAGGGGCAACTTGGAATTGTTATTTATGTGTGTTGCTCAACCACAAAATCCAAAGAAGTGTAAAATATTTTACACTAATTGCAAGCAGCGGCCAACAACAAGTTGGCCCAAAAACTGTGCGCAACATTAAAGGGTGTGTGTCAGCCCTAACTAAACGCAGGGCGTTTCATTATGCTGGCCAAATTTGGCTCGAAAATTACGCGCAAACACGCCAACACAATTTCTGATACAATAAACACTCGCATTGTCGAGCAACAGATGGGCCAGAGGAACGTTTTTGTGTGGCATCCGAGGGGCCAACAGCTCTGACATTTTGCCAGTTAATTTTCGTGCACAATAAATTAACATTTTAATTTACTGCCTGGCAACTGGCGCCCCATCTTGCATGCAATTTATTTTGTGCCCTTATGAGTATATGGGTATATCATTCATGTTTCTCAAATATAATTAAATTAAATTTGATTTTAACGTATTTCTTTACAAATAATATCTCATATATTTTGGTAAATCATTACCAGCAGTTGTTAATCATAAAGCCAAACCTTGTGCCAATCGGATGAGATTTGACCGAGTTATGGCTGTGGGAAATTTTCACCTAATGTCTATATAGGATGTTAAGATATATAGGATATATGAGATGCCTAATTGATCTAGAGGCCAAACCATGGACAAAGAGCAAAGCCTCGTGCAAATCTGATGAGATTTGACCGAGATATAGAGGTGGGCAATTTTGACGCATGTCTATGTAGGATATTTGAGGAAACCATTTTCACATGAATTTTTACCAAGAATAATGTTGCCATATTTAGATGCCAAATTTATCTCGAGGTCGAACCATGAAGAAAAAGCTAAACCTAAATTTGAGCGCGAAACGTCGCCCACCAAATCTTTGACCTCCATTTCCACCAAGGAGGAATGCATTTTTCGGAAAGTGTGAAACACCCCTCAAATGAATTTGAACAAAGATCTTTGAACATGAGGCCGATCGGATGGTAAACAAAAAAATGTCATAGTTTTATACATAGAGATAAAGTCTTCTTAATCCATTTATAATTGTTAAAAATATTTCTTTAAAAAGAAAACGCTCAGTTAAGTAATTTTCATATAGACTATTTAAATCTGATGATTTAAAAAAGCTAAAAGTAACCAGGGCACACAGGAGAGTATAATTTTGAAAAACTGTTTAGTTTTTCAATTTAAAGCGAATTTTCAGCAAATTTCACTAACTGACAGCAACTTCTACGAATTCCACCTCAAGCATGTGTTGATGAAAGGCTTAAGTCAGTTAAAACATAGTGCTTAGCTAGCTTAGCTTAACTTTATGCTTTAATTTCGGGCCTTAACGAAGCAAATTTGGTCCTATCAAATGGTATTCAAATGGTTGCACGCTGAAATTAATTAGACAAGTTTTAGGTCGAGACAAGTCTAAGCTTCGTGAGGCAGTACGCAAAGGTCCTGGCCAAAGCCATTGAAGCGTGTGCCTGGCAGACATTGAATAGGATCTCTCTGGCAGGCGCTGTCAGGAGGAGTTCAGTTTAGGCAACTTCAAAGTCAGCAGCACATTTCATGTGTTGTGCACAACGTAGCGAGGCAGCCCAACAAATGCGCTAATTAATTTGCAGCTCTTGGCAACAAAATTGCAGCACGAATTGTTTACAGCAGCGGCCGAGAGGGAAAAGCCCAGCGGGAACTTTTATTTGACTTTTGTTATGATAACGGCAATTAGTGAATGGCAAGCCAAATGCACGTGCTAGTGCTGCATAAAGTCTGCATGCGTTGCATGCAACAAAGTTGGCGCTTTGTGCCAATTTGGCTCTTCCACAGTTGAATGAAGCGGAACAGAGGCAGGGAGAAAAAACGAGAGTGCGAGCTTTCGGATAGCTGCCACACTTTGTGTATGCTGTGCGGTTAGGGCAAAGTTTGCCATGAAACATAAAACCAAGTTCAGGTTGAAACTCAAACTTAAATAGATTTACCCCTGCTGGGTCAGATTTAATGAAGCTACAAATGGTATTATGATTGCTTGGCGCTGTGGTTAATCGATTTTCGCAAAAGGCACAAAAAAAAAATGTACAACTTTTCCAAATTGTGTGCACTTGAACAATCTTCCATTTGCAAGCAGATCAATTAAGCTTGGGCGATAAATAAAAGTCAATTCATCAACTAAATATAGGTCTGCGCATATTCATATTTATGCAATATGGAAATCAATTTAAACATTCAAATATGCAGGCGATATCTTATCAAGCCACATTCAGACAAGCTGCCGTCAACTGTACGTACGAGGGTTGTTTAAGGACATTCGAAAATTAAATTTGTACAGACGTTTTTAATAGCTTGCAGAAATTCTTAAGTATTCAAGTTAAATAAAACTCTTTAATTAAAACAGCTCAAAATTTGTAAAACTGCGCTTTGGCGCCCAAAGTGTTGCAGCAGCAGTTTTCAATAGCTTTAAATAGCACACCCATTAAATGTGGCGCCCAACGTGGGACGCTACAGCTGCCAGCAACAGTTATAAATGGCTGTGAATATCGCATTACCTGTGGGGAATAAAGTTGCTGGAATAAAGAATCAAGCGTAAATGCTTTTATTTTATAGTTAGACGAATGGGGAAGTAAAAGCAAAAGCAAGCAAAGCTAAATTCTGTGAGATTTAAGAACTTTAAATCGTTTATCACATATTTTATAGAACTGTGGTTTCTCCAGAGATGTAAGTATACGCTAAATACATCAAAGTTACGCTTTACGTTTCGCTATACACATATGCCTGCGTATTTGCGAGTTAATTTCAATTAAAAATAATTAAATTCAGTTAAATCCAATTGAAAATACCTTTTGTGCCAACCCCCAGGACACCAACATATTTTACATATATAGCTACCTGCTGGCTGACATGCAATCAAAGGGGATTCAGTCTTTTGCCGTTTTTGCCCAATGCCAATCAATAAGTCACATAAGCGACCGAGCACACAACTGATATTTGACTTTACCGAAGTAAATGTCTATATGTATATAAATGGGATACCCAACAGGCATTTGCTTAATTAAAGGCACAGACATACCAAAATGCCAATGGAGCCGCGCCGCTCGCCCAGATTGCCAATGATTTTGCGCTGTGTCGACAACTTCTGTGTGCCTGCATAAATGATTTACGAATGGACACACACACACACACAGTACACACACACGCACACAGAAATGTTATGCACTTATGCTCGCACTCTACTCTCTACTCATACTTTACCTCATAGATATCGATGCCGTGGCTGAGTGACCATGAAGTTTGAAAGTAGTCCTCAATGCGCTGCTTCAGCTCTTTGGGCATCTGCAATGAAGAAGATAGACAAAATAATAATTATAATGCGTTTTTCTCTGTTCTCTTTTCACAAATGACATAAGCTAATGAGTTGCAGTTTTTGTCTGCGTGTGTCTGCAGCTCATTTGCATGCGCTCGATGCATGCGAGCAGCACAAACGCACTTGATTATGCTGTGCATTGCGTATACGCCGTGTGGCAACTGCCTAATGGAGCCACTGGCAGTCGTCGTATTATGTGCGCGTGCAAGATTGCACCATCAACAGGTTGTATGACACGGTCACGTCTCCCAACTAAACATGGCCCTCCACAGCAATGGGTGGCTGGCAACCGCAACCAACTCAATCGTTCGCTTATGGCTCTGGCTAGGCATCGGCCCCACGCTGCCTAATGTTGCGTGGCATATGGCGAATGTGAGCTGCATTCGAAAAAAACTGAAGGAAGCAAGCGCTCGGAACATGGCCTGCATGCAAAAAGCGTGAGCGTCGACCAGGGGCAAAAATTCATTTCCAATGCCCAAGGCCATTGCGGTTTTGCCATCGATAATCAACTATTAATGAGACCGGCCCATAAGGCTTAAGTATCACTTTGGTGCACTCGATAGAAAAATAAATGTGCGCAGTTGTGCGGTTGGCCCCCAATGAATCACTTTTGATATCGCGAATGGACATCAAACAAGCTACACAAACAAGGAACTTCAACAGCTTTCGATGACTATGCATAGCACGTTATTTACACAATGTGCCTAATTAATTGGCGCCCAACGTGGACAGGAAAGTGTAAACGCGTTTATTGCATTGCCATATGAATGGCGAACACATATGGTTTTAACATTTAACCGATTAATACTCACATTATGCAAGGCCACGAAATCCTTCAGGTCCCGCCATTTGCTCTCGTAAAGGGAACGACGTGAGTACATGCGTTGTATGATGGCCGTCACATTACCGAAGACCACAGCATGCATCAGAGCTGTGCGTTAAAGGAGAGAATTCAGAATTTAACGTTGAGAGCCAGTAAAATATGATTTCATATAATTCGTGAAAGTGGGTAGGGAGGAGGTAGCACACGTGGATGATTACCTACCGCCAATCAGCATCATTATAATGGTGAAAACCTTCTCGGCTGTTGTATTCGCCGACACATTGCCAAAGCCCACAGAGGTGAGGCTGGTGAATGTGAAATACAACGCTGTCGAGTAAGTCTCAGCCGTTGTTAGAATGGCAACAGAGGCATTTTTTCTCTCAGCCAGCAGCTGCAGCCAACCTGTGAACAAGACTTGAAGATTTTAATAGGAAAAAAGAAAAAAAGCGAAAAAGAAAAGAAAAGGCATATAAACTTTGTTTAGTAAATCAGGCATTAGCAAAGCCCATGGCACCAGACACATATGTATTATTATTATTATTTTTTTGTTGTGTAATTCAGCCGCTTATTAAACTGACAATGACTTGGCCAAAAGTTTGCCGCCTTTGCCGCCGCTGTCCATCAAAGTATCAGTCAGTAAGCTGTCAGAGCCTCACGGACATGAAGCGTGTCAAATCCGGCTAAATGCTTAGGCCAAAATGGCAACGGAAACGTCAAACGGCAAACGCCAAATGGCAAATGGCAAATGGCAGTTGCTGAACTTTTTGCCAAACAAATTTTTCTATCTCGCTCCAACAGCTAAAAGGGCGGTACGAGTATTTAATGTGTATCATGTTCACAGTGCATATTGATGTGAAAAGTAACTGGCAATTTGTTGCTTTCGTATGTGATTTTCCCTGGCTGGCAGTTTATCAAGAGTGGAATATTACAATTTACCCGGGGAATACACATGGCATAATGCATAAATAAATGCTAATCTGCGAAAATGTTGAATTAACAGCGACGTGAATGGAAGATATACCCTAGAGATGCTTGATGACAATTACGGAATTTTGGAACTCTCAGAAGTCAGGTGGTGCTAAGAAATGAAGCTTGTCTTGTTTACTCACATTGCAGGGTATATAAAGTAACAAGTGAAAGAATAAGTTTATGAACTAAAAGGTTGAATTAAGTTGATGTCCGTTGGAATTGGAGAAAGTTTTTGATCCTTTTTCCGGACTGCTAAATGTATTATGTTGAAGTTTTATATACCTTCCTTCCGATTCCTTAATAAAGTGCGCAAAGTAAAAAGGGGACAACTATTGTAGCTAAGATGAAAGTTTTATATTCATTAATTATTATAGTATTGTTGAGCTTTTTTGACATACAAATTTTCTGGCTTCCAATGCGAATAGAAGACATTTTAAAATTTCATTTTCTTACATAAAAGTAGCAAATACTCTTCAACTCAACTACAGGATACAAAGTAACAATTTGCTGTTATGGGGTCGAAAATCAGAGTCTTTTATACTGCTATGTACATTAAACCCTCCTACCCAATGCCATCACAGGGTATACAGAGTAACAATAAAAACTTTTTAAGGCTCGCACACACACACACACACACATAGATTTAAATCACAATAAACGCTGATTTGATATTGTTTCGCACGAGTTTCGTGCAAACTTTGTCATTCGAATGTGTTAATAACCGTCATTTCCCCCTTACAGCTTTACACCTGAGCTGATTTTAAACTTTGGCCAACAGAATACATTAGGCAAAACATGTGTGTGTGTTTCCGTGACTGTGTGTACATGTGTCTGTGGTTGTGGTGCGGGGTAAAGGCAACAATTTCATTTGGCGTTTGACGAGCCAGGCAAACACAATCAACGCTGGCGGCAAACTAACCAAATTACTGTCCAACTAACACACACACACACACACACAAACACACACACATAAACACACTCCCAACACTTATGTATATGTGAATGGGCTGATGGGCTGCAAGATGACCTTGGCTTTTAGCCAGTCCATGCGTCGGTCCATGCTGCGCGCCCGCTACTCACCAATGTTACTCTCGGGAAACCACTCGTACTCCTTTACGGCGATGACATACCAGATGCAGGCGAGCCAGTGCGCCGCCAGCGTGAATGAAAACATCAGAAGCGTCAGAATCATGGCCGTGTGCTGTGAATATCGATCAATTTTTTGCAATAGCCTGGCCAGGCGCAACAAACGCGTCAATTTGACAAGATGAATGTGTGATTCCTGGGCATAGAGACACATCGAGAAAGAGAGAAAGAGAGAGAGTTGAAAAGTAACGAGATACATTGTTAAACGAGATGCATTGTTAGCGCTGCATAAATTTATCGATGACACCATCGTGGGTATCGATGGTCAATTTATCGGTCGACATGATAATTGATATGCTTTTTAGAATAGACATAACTACATTTATATGGAAATACTTGCTTTATTTATAAATATTGGCTTATGCTTAATAAATATTGGCTTATTACACTATCGTGTAAAGATGGTAAACTTATCGATCGACACGATAATTGCTGTGCTTTTCTAAATTTACATAACTAACTTTATATAAGTAAACTTGTCCGTTAAGTTTATGGAATAATGGCTTTCAAATTATATATCGAAGGAAACATGGTTTCGCTGGTATGGCATTCATCGATTTTTGCGATAATTATTCTTACGGTTCTCTGCATTTACAAAACATAAGTTAATTGCAATACAAACCTTTAATTTTATGAATATTATTTAATTATGGCATTAAGAATGTTATTTACATTTATATAATTTATATTAATTTATTCTGTTTTTAATTTTGTAATAAGCCAGCGACAGCTTTTAATATTTTTAAGCAATTCAGATAACTATTTAAAAGCGCAGATGAAAAAATAAGCGGAAGAGGAAGTGTGAATTGAGTGAGTCAACAATCGGAACTAACAAATGACGCTGCTGTTTTTATTGACCTTTTGTGGAGAAATCTGTATAGTCTTGAGATCTTCATACAGCTTAAAATAAATACTGTGATACTGTGTACTTAATTGAGTGAGTAGATGAGTTGCAATAATGGTGATAGAGTCGAAATTCATGGTGTAGTTGAATAAACAGAATTGACTCATGAACTCTGCGTGAATGCCAATTTAAAAGTGGGCAAGTGTTAATGTTAACTTTTTATACACCCCACAAAAAGTAAACTAAACAAAAAAGTTAAGTTGAGTTTTAAAGTTGAGTTGAAAAGTTATTTCCAGCTTCAAGCGAAATGCAGTAATAAGCTTTTCATAGCAGCTAATGGCATTTTGGCTCTAATATAATTTTGACCCCTCGTAGTTTGCTCCAATTACGTTGCCCACTTTTACTGGGGCGTAAATCTCATTAGAGAAGACACATACACACACATACACATATGCAGACCCAAAAAACACGCTGAGTTCCCAAAAATTTTGACACATGCCCATTTATTAGCTGGCATTTCCGTCCTTCGCCGTATTATGACTCCCGCCCCAACTCAACAAAGAAAGCAAGCAGAATAAAAGGGATAGTTGAACAAAAATCAAATCAAAGGGGCTGTCATCAAAAAGCCGAAATGTAAACATAAACAAGCTTATCAGGCTGCCCAGAAGGGCGGGCAGGTTGACTAAGGAGAAGCGTTGAGCTGTCATTTAATCTTGAAGCTGGCACCTTATGTATAAAAAAATATATTTTATGATTAAAAGTAAAAATATTATAAATGTGAAACTGTTGAGGCGTTCTTTCCAAAACGGGCACAGCTTGTAATTTGCTGAAAGAGCTAAAAAAAAAACCTGCGATCTAAGCATTTAGCGTGCAACAGCCTTGCAATAAATTCAATAGAGAGAAAAATACGCGAGGCTGTCAAGAAGCTAAGTAAAAGGCATTTAAAACGTATAATAACAATAACAAGGGAATTTGAGAAGTTCGTCTACGGCATACCCTAAAAGCAGCACAAGCGCAAAAAGCTAGCTATAAATTGTATATAAAACGAAAAATACACGGAGCCTGGAACTAAAATTTTTGGCATCTCATTCAAACTCCTAATATATGGTAAAAATTATTTTCAATTTTTAAAGATACAATAAAAAAAAAGAAAAGGCACTTAATTAATATAAGCAATATACAAAACCATATCATACACGCCTTATACATGCTATAGTACAGGGTATGCAAAAAATAAAACACACAGACAGATGAACAGACAGCAGAGAACATGTCGAGGCGTTGTAGCTTTAAGAAAAGCGGCACAATAACCGCTTTTGTTTTCCTTTATAAGGCTTTTCGCTTTTATATGCCACGTGACTGTTTGTAGGCGTCTGTGTGTGGGTTTGTTAGGGTTTGTGTGTGTTTGTGTATCTGTATGCTGTTGTCAAGCAAAATTGTAATTCATGTTGCAATTTGCGCTGCGCTTTCGCTTTCGTTAGCTTCTCTCTTTGCTTCATTCAATGCCTGGCTGGCTGGCTTTAGGTAAAGTTTTGCGCCGCCTGCTCACATTTTGTTTACTTTGTCGCGCGCTGAGGCGCCAACAACAACAACAGCTACAACGGAAGCAACGTGAAGTTACTTGACTCAACTTGAATGCCATGGCAACTTCCGTTTCCGTTGGTCGAGCTCTTGTCAACTTTTTATTCTCTCTTCTTTTTTTTTTGGGTCTCAAAGATAATTAAAACTTGGAAATCAACTAAATATGCAAAGTTTCTAGTGCATTAGCTGGAAATTGGTATGCAGCAGCAACGAGAACAAGATACACCACTTTAAAAGTAAGCAGAAGCAAGTAAGAAAATGTCAAAAAGAAAATACTTTTGAATTACAAAATCTGAGCGCAAGACCTGTCCAAAATTTGTCAAAAGTGGCCAAATAATAACATATTAATGACGTTTTTTTCTCGGCTACTTAAGAGCTTTAAACCACATAAAACTCACAAACCTGAAGAGAAAGGAAGAGGGAGATGGAAAGGGGAGGTGGGTAAGGAGCACAGCAAAATGCTTGCAATTAGAACACATTTAAGTATTAAAGAAAAACAAAAAGTAAAGTTGTGATGGCGCCCAAGTGTGGCCTTACAAAAGCTTAAAACACGCTCCGATTTTTTACCATTTTTATTGTGACCTTCGGAAATTTTAAAAAAGTAAACACATATTTAAGTTTACTTCGAGACAGACCAAGTTTTTGCTGGCCTTGGCAAGGATTTGCCTTTTTGGCAGCAACAAGTTCTAACTTAGTTATACCTACATCCCATGTTTAAAGCGACTTAAACCTACTTCATTAGCCAACTCATATTTGCTACAAGTTAAAAGCAAAGTCCTGTAGCTAAGTAGTCAAATTTTTTGCCTTAACCCAAGAGCTCAACATACCCTAAGTACTTCAGGACTTGGAGTACGGGTATGCAGAACATTTCACAGCTGTCTAGTTGAGTCAACGAGGCAGCTAAAATGTATTTGATTTGATCGGAAGGAATCACAGCTAAGCTGAAAGTTGTTGTTGCTGGGGGTAGTTCTAACGAGCCACAGCCAACAAATGAAACGAGACACACATAAAAAGAAAACTTTGGTCGACAGCGCAATCAATGGGAAAGCCATGACAATGCATAAAATCAGTGAAAAGTCAGCTTGAAAATTAAGTCAGAACAAAAATGGCAGCTTAAAACACAAGCAGAAGGATACTTGAAATGTTCATAATGGCTGCCAAGAGCGAATTTGACTTTTATTTCTTTATTTTTCGTACACACTGTTCGCTAAAGCGAAGGAGGGCATATTTAAATTATAAATGTGTCGCCAAAGATAGCAAAAGTAATTTTTTCGAAAAAGAAAATATAAAATTTGGAACTATTGGGAATGGGCATGAGCATGGTCTCTTTATATCCCATTATTTAAGGTAGTATTATTTATTTTAATTATTATTTTTGTTATCAAGAATATTAGAACACATATCCTTACTAATTTTAAGGCAAAGTTATTTTAAATTTAAATTTATCTAATACTTCAAGAAAACAATAATACGTATTTTAACCAACTTTACACCAATGTAATCACGTTTTCCAGCTGCTTAAAGCTTTTTCTACTTATAACAAAAACAATGTATCAAATGTTCCCTAACTGTCATCCACTTTCCATTCCCGTTTCTATCGGGAATTAAAGTATCTAACAGTCGAGCAGCTATCATCCTCGAGATTCTTTCTTGTTGTCCAAGAGCTTTGGGCGGAGCACTTGAAGTAACTGACTTCGCCAGCAAAGAAGCAAATAAAACAAATGCAAGCCTCAAGTTAGGTGCTTGAAAACCCGGGACAAAAAGATAGACCAAAGGAAAGTCCGGTCAATGAGCAATACCTGAAACCCCTGACAGACAGCTGCAAATAATGCAAAACGTAGCATACTTTTTGGGGCTCACATTCAGTTGGTACACATTTGGGTCAGAATGACGCAATGATGGCACCGCATTTACCTACTCAGTTACCGACAGTCGGCGAGGACACGCCTTAAATCCGCCTGATGAGCGTCGAGTGCACTTAAAAGGATTCCACTTGCTGGCGCAAATAGAAAAGCGGCTTAAACGAGTTGCGCAACTAAAAATAAATATGAAAACTATGCTCAACACTTATTACAGCACATGCAATTCAATTCTAATTAAATGCAATTATTTGTAGAGCTATTAAAGCCGTATTAAATTCAGTTAAGTCGAAAATTACAATAAAATCCCATATAAAAGACATGCATTATGCATGCGATAAAACAGACTTTAATGCAAATCCTCTTACTGGCATTTACCACTTGAAATTCGGCTTAAATATTTAATGTCATTGGAGGGTTCAGCGGGCCATATGTAAGCTAAAAGCAAAGTTCACTGATAATCTAAGTGCAGTTGTGAATGAACTTTCCCAAAGTCCAGCAAATTCAAGATTGTAGAGATAAAATTCACTTGTGGAAACTGATTTCTTCATGTTACCTTAAAATCAATTAAATATGTTTAACGAAGCAAAATGCTTAAATCGATGGCAATTAAATTTGATTAGCCAAGCAAACGGCAAGCATATCAAATTAATGCTCAACAATGTGTGCAACATGATATGTTTAATGCGCAAATATAATTGTTAATTTAACACTCAGCACAAAATGAAGCTAACGAACGCTCCAATTAAACAATTATAATGAATAGCAATTAATAAGTGAGATGAAGATAAAGACTGTGAAGTATCAAAGATAATCACATTTGCACTTAATTTTTTAAGGTCACAAGTAGAGTTACTTTGAAGATAAACATGTTTGTTATTTCAAAAACACAAGAACTCGGAGAAATATAAATGCAATGTTAGTGAAAAATGAGAAACTTTGTTTTTGAGATTTACTTTGAGGAAATTTCTGATTAGACAATCTTAAGAGGGAGTACATAAAGAGCCGCTGAAATAAGAACCACATAAGTGAGACATATTCCCTTTTGACAAATAGCACATAGAAAATAGATAAAAGAGCGCGGATTAAAGTAACTATGAAGGACATATGTCTTACTGTCCAACTGATTTAAATAAATGGCAAACGCAGTTTTTGTACACTAGATTTCAAACGTAGCAAAAAAACAAATGCCTAACTCAATCTGCTCACGAATCCCTCACCTACTCCCCAGACACAATCACAATGCCAGCGAAGCCAGTTTTAGCTCAGCTTGTGCATTTTAAATGCAGCAATCACACACTCACCACCCCCTTCTCCGCCTCAGCTTGCAATTTTCCGGGGTATGCAAATAGCGAATTCATTTCTCAAATGTGACACAATAGGAAAAACGATTTGCTAAAAGGTGTTAAAAACAATTTAAAGACAATTACTCACCTCGCCGTCGTACAAATCGGAGGCATATAGATGATCAAAGGGCAGGGCGGCCAATAAGTCCAGGGCAAACCAGCCACGGAAATAATTGATGGCAATCTGTTTAGAGTTGGATACGACCTCACCTTTGCGCGAGACAAAGGTTGTGCGAAAATTCAATAAAATATCTGCAATAAAAGAGCAATAAAAGAAAAGGATAGAGGACAGGAAACGAGTGAGAAAGACACAAGAGAATTAAACTAAAAACCCATATTGAGCTTTGAGCTGAATTCAATAGCCAGCCAAGGGCCCAAAAGGATGATGATGATGAGGATATAAGTGTGGCTAACAGGTTGTCCATATAAATGTAACAAAGCATCTGCTGGACAACCAAATGCCAAAAAGGACAACCGCTCATCATCATCAACATCATCATCAGCATTAACGTCATCATTTTATAGTGGTACTCACCGACAATGAACAGCGCCTCGACAATTACATCGGAGACCATGGTCTGGCGATCCGCTTTGGCAAATGCCGCATTGTAGGGCACCATCAATGCCACATAGAAGGTGGCCACCAATATGACCCAATCCCAGATGCCTTTGAATACACCATAATGGGGTAAAATCAAGCGTGACTTTTTTATCGACTGCGTTTTGTATTCAGGAAATGGAGCCTCAGTTGCATGCATAAAGTTCTACCAAAAAAGAATAACAGAAAAGAAAGTTAACATAAGTGAATTTCAGTTTAATACCACGCGTGAAAGGATTAAGTTAAATGCACGGATTGCCGCATTATAACGTGAAAAAGCAGCAAGCGAAAATTGTTAATTCAATTAAGGGCACACTCGAAGAAAAAGTATAGCTCAAAAAATCATAGTAACGAATTATATTCAATATAGAAAAAATTCTTGTAAACACAAGAGTTGTAAATATGTCTTAAGAACTTTTAAAATTATTACTCCACATAGTTGCAATATTATAATGATAATAATTCCTCAATTAAAATACAAGATAATCCTAAGTTCTTCCTAAATATTCCATTAATTTATATATTGATATTCATCCCAACTTTAACTATTTGTCCTTTAAACCGTAAAATTTTTAAATCATATTTCTTGAACAACACAAACATAAAAAATATTTAGAATTCTTTGACAATATAGCAAAAAATTAACTATATTACTTTATATATCAAATAAATAACGTATATAACTATAAATCATATTTTGAATTTAAAAATGTTTAAATTCAAAATAGTTTTTAGTTAAATTAGTAAATCTATTTGAGGGAAAGTCGGATTAAAAGATGTCTAAATACATACTTGTTTGTATGGATATAAGTTACTTGTATTAGTTAATTATTAATTGGGATTAAGAACTCACGTTCATAATAAATGAAATGATCCAAAATCATAGTAAGATATTAACAATTGTCATTTTGATATTAGTTAAAAAAATAAATGTAATCAAAGTTTTTAAGGTTATTTTTGCTGCATTTGCAATTTAACATTGATATCAAAACACCCTCAAAATTGTTGAAATTTCAAAAAGAAAAGCCCTCTAAATTCCATTTGAATAATAACCTACACGCGGAGTGTATATTCCGAGCCATTACCTTCGACAACAACAAAAGAGGATTTAAAGCCATACACGTTTAATTGAATTTGGGTCGCAATAGCCCTTTCGATGTTGTTGCTGTTGTTGTTGTTGTTGAAGTGTGTGTATCTGTGTGTGTGTGTGTGGTTTGGGTGTGGTTATCATACTCACATTGCCCAGCTTCAATTTGGTTTTGACACCGCCCTTTTCGGGCTTGTAATGACCAGATAGCTGATATAGAACCGCACGACTGCGACGTCTTCCCATATTACAGCCGGCAGGCACATCCAAATTATTGCCCTCACCGGTATCCGTATCTCCCCCATCAGCAGACCCCGGTCCGCCCAGGCCGGGCAGGCCGCCCAGGCCCAGAATGCCGGCATTGGAGCCGGCACGGAATCTAGCGCCCAGGAGTGCAGCTGTAAGGGCAAAAACTTACAGAGTCGCAACACAATAATTTCAATTGATGCAGCAAGCAGCACACAAGCGAGTTGTACGATTCGAGAATTTAATCATATTCATTATTAGGTTTTATTTTATGAATTTGGATATATATTATATTTTTTGGGTGTTATTATCATATTAGTTTGGGTTGTTTTTTTATGTCGGTTTAATTACAATGATGATGCCGGTTAGAGTAAGAAAAAGAGCACAAAGAAAGAAAATATACAGATATTGTACAAATACAGTTTGAATCAATTATATTTTTTACAGCATGTTTTTGATTTATTCAATTGTTTTAACATGTATTTAGCAATAGGCTACAAAAGGTGCACATACACACACACACACATATATAATGTGTATCATAAATTTAGTAATTCAGCCTCCAAGCGACACAAAGTACAAGCTGCATGTGTTTGTTGTGTTTGGGTTTTTAATATAATCTGTGAATTTGTGATATTATGTGCTTTCAATTTACCTTTATTTGAGAACTTAGCAACACCACACTATCATAGTGTTGTAATTTACTTAATGCATGCAAAATATTTACATTTTATGTTTAATTTGCTTTCAGCTGACACATCCCAAATTTGTAAGCTAAAAGCTCATATTACTTCTGAGTAAAAAGGTCAAAAAATTTTAATATACAAAATATTTTCCCGAAAATGAAAATATTTTAACAATTATTTTGCCACAATGGTTCTATAGAAACCACTATTAAAATATTTAATTAAAATTGAAATTAAAAAAGTCAATTCCATGCATTTTTTTCAGCTTAAATTCATGAATTTTGCTGCATTCACGCAAATATTTACCCGAAATATCAGTTCATAGCATAAAAATAGCAAAAAGCATGAGAATAAATATAATAATTCGAGGGTATGATAAGTTGCCAGGCGTGAGGCGCCAAATACTCATGTCCGTGAATTTGTTGGCATGTAAACAAGCCTGGTATGCACAGTGTACGGTGCCAGGATGAAAGTAAACCACAATCTCAAGCACACAAAGAACCGGGCCGCAACCTCAAGCAGGCTCATTAAAATTAACTTAATTTTATTTTCGTCGTCCAACTCAAAGGCAGCGCGTGCTGCTATAAATTACAATTAGCTTGATTGTGAAAAATTTTACCCAAAAAAATAAATAGACAAACAAAAAAATGTGGGCCAGAGCAGCATACTAATTATACGGATTTAATTTTCGATGTTGTAACAAAGTGTAAAACTTGTGCCCATCCGGCTTATTAGAAAGGTTTTTTGTTTTGTTACCCAACAAAGGATATGCAAATTTTGTATCAAATGTGTAACACATTGGATTATGAAGTTAAGCCCACTATGCGAACTGAGCTGTCGCGAAGCTATTGGGATGAAAATTGCTAAAGATGCTTCCTAGTATACCAGAGAGTGTATATATTAATACTTAAATTTCCATAGGAACTAGGGATTTAAATTAAAGTCGTATTCTATGAAATCGCAGTTTATTTGACAGACTTTCCAATTAAACTTATTAAGAATATGTATTTTATACGCATCATTTAAACAAACACATAGCGCTTGCAGAAACATTGAGATTTTATATATATAAACGAGGGTATTCAATTGACAAACCGAAAACAAGCGCTTTTTCATACTTCGCACAAGGGTCTGAAATAAGCGTAACAAATTTGATTTCAATTTTGAGCCCGTAACCAAGCCAAACCAGGCCCAAGCCCAAACCCGAACCCAAGCGCGAGCGTGGCCCAGCCTCGCTGTCATATCGAAATGCCAATTAAGCTGCCAGGCACCTCAATGATCCAGGCCGTGGGCTAACAACATATTTGGGAGTTTTCAACTCCCACATTTCGACAGCACGTAGCGTACGCTCAATGCATACACAAAAAAAATAAAAATAAATAGAAGCAAATTGACAGAAATATCGAAGGGAAAAAATATGGCGAAACAAGTGCAAAATATGCGCGATTCAGTCGAGCGTGGAAAATGCTGGGAAAAAGTGTCGCACATGCCGCATTGGTGAAAAATTGTTAAGAGGAGCTGCTGCCGCATTCCTGACAAGCCTAATGATGTGTGAAATGACGGTCATTTTAACTGTCGCTGACGCACGGCTCACATAAATGTCGAGCGAATGATAATTCAATTGCCTTTGAAATCTCGCCCGTTTGCCACATCAAATATGGCAAATTCTTCAAATTTACAGCCTAATTACTTGGCCTGGCTGAAAGCACAGTTAATATGCTGCTTGGCATTTTGACAAGCCTTAATTTGCAATTGATGTGGATTGTGGATTGCCGCTCAAAATGCCGCCAGTCAGCGGCATTTGCTGCAAATGTCAGAGCTTATGCTCAAATTAGTTTTGAAATTTTCACAAGCCTACGAATACGCCATGGGGTTGACAAATATATGCAGTTGATATTTTAACTAAGCCGCCTGTATATGCCAAAGGCTTTTAATAAAATCAGAATGATTTTGTCTTTTCCTTTTATCCGGCAAACACACTATGCGTGCAACTAAAAGAGCAAATTCATTGGGATTTGCCGCAAATGTCAAGACTAACAAATTTCGCAAAATTTCACAAGATTACGTATACGCCACGTGTCTGAGAAGTATGTGCAGTTGATATTTCAAATAAACTGTGATAATTAACTAGCAAATATCTTATATATGAAACCAAAGGAATCCATACAAAAAAGCCCTGCGCTTAATAATGAAACATTATTTTTAGCCAGGACATTTTTTCGAATTCTTAAATAAATTAAATTATATATAAAATCATATTATCAAGTCTATAAAATAATATTATATAATATGTGCTCTTAAAATTAAGAATATAAAATACTTAAAAAAAAAATTATTTTCAGGATATAATTGCTTTTATTATACCTCATTACATGCACCAAATATATTATGATGACCTCCAAGTACACTCTATTTAATGAACCAAAATTTTAGAAAAGTTTTCTTTAAGTTTTGCAAACAAGTATATCCATACCCAATTGGCAGCGACAGCTCTTATAATTACTGCCGAACTCTAATACATAAGTCTATTCAATCCTACTTTAAACGCAATTTTGTAATTAATGTGGCTTACAACTTTCATATATGTTAACCACATGACATGAGCCCAAGAGTTGTCAAAAACAAATGCATTTTAAGCAGCTGCAAAGCCAAACCAACTGCAACTGTCCTGTTGCAATCGACGTAGCAGCTGTCGCATGCAACAGTTTGTGCAACAGTTGCGCACACCGAGCTGCTATTAACTATAAATTTTTGATAATTATGACAACAGCGCCGTTGCACGCTGTTTATTATGCCAAAACGATGTCATCAGCACTAAATAATTTAAGAGCTCAGCTCAAACTGTGAGAACTGTGGAGGAGCGATTAAAGCAGCTGCCGTTGTCTGTGAGCTGCTCATCCTTTTTGCATGGCTGCAAGGCCCTCAAAAACCACAAAACAGTCAAGTCAAGTCAAGTCAAGCCAAGTCAAGTCAAGAGCAGTGACAACAAAGCCACGACCACTAAATAATGATGGTAATAAAACTGCAAATGAAACCTGCCAGAAATGCCAGAGTGCAAGCAACCAAGCAGCCGAACAATGCTCCAATGCCAGACCTCAAAAACCCAACCCCAACCTCACCTTTAGTTAGAAACCCAGAACTCTGTCTGCTCACTAATTCGCATTAGTTGGATGCGCAATGACCTACGCGAATAAATTCACTTCATGCGCACAAGCTAAACAATTCTCTTGGCATTCTCTGTTTGCAATTGGTTTTATTTTCTTTTCGGAAGCAGCCATTTGCAGTTGACTCTCGGCACATCAATATTTAAGCATGCGTTACAATTTCTTTAGTTCTACCATTTTCGTCCCTGGAGAATAATGGAGACATTTTCGTGCTAACTAATTCACCAAATTCAGTTGTAAGCATATTTAATATATAATCAAGTCGGATAAGCTTAGATAAATACTAAATGCTAAAGTACAAAAAGTTGTAATGCCTATTAATATATTCTCGGAAAAGACTTATTGAAATATCATGTGAATTTAAATTAATTTGGAATTGCACAGAACTTAATTTATACTTGATATAAGCTTACAATGAATATGTTAAATGTTTTGTATAAAGTTTGTTTTAATGTTAAAAATGAAATTATGCACATATTTTAAAAAACAGAAACTTTACTGAATATGATTTAAATTGTTTTTAATAAGAAACTTTATTGGACACAATTTATTTTTTTTAATTCCAATTCAAATTGAATTACTATTGAATTGAAATTGAATCGTGCTCTGATTTAATCGAATTGAAACAAAAATAAAGAATATATTTTAAATAAATCTTTGATTTTAAGTTAAATTGAAATGAATTCGAATAGGAATTTAATTCAATTTAAATTTAACCTGAATTTATTTATACATTTAATATATTCAATTAAATTCATTTAAAATTTGAAATAAATTCAACTTAAACCAATTCAAATTTATTTATAGCTGTTATATACATAGTTCAATTGGAAATTTATATATATGAAACACAAATTAAGCTGAATATGCCCTCAATATTAAAATTAAATGGAATATATATGTTGATAGACATGGTAGAATAAATAAGTCAAATATATAAATACAAAAACATTATTTGAAATGAATTGAACAAAAATTGACTTTAGATTAATTCAAATAGAGTTATAAAAACTACGTAGTGACAAATTTATTTAATCCTTTCTGATGCAACGTAATAAAATACCACAAACGGAGTCAAAATGTGACAAAACAGAATAAAAATATAACATAGAATGTGTAAAGCATTCAAATATTAATTTTCAAATGCCAGCGAGTTGCAGGAAACGTTCGAAAAAGCTGTTAACCAACGAAACTTGGACAAGTTAACCAAAAATTCAGCATACGCAAAGTGAGTAAAAATTCCACAAAGTTGACAAGATGACATGGCGAAAAGGAAAAATAAAAAATGTAAATAGAAAAAAAATATAAAAAATTGCGTGCTGCAGACTGACAAACCGAGCAACCGCCAACAGGTACACACAGGCAATATAAATATGCATATTCATATTTTTATATATATAACAATATTTATCATGACATTTTACCTTTGACGTGGCGTTTGGTTAACCAATTTACAAACTTTTGCACATCTGTTTTATTAATTTCTGTATTATTTAACACTTTTACTTGGCTGTCATGTGTGTGTGTGTGAGTGTGGGTTGGCATGTGTGTTGCTATGCTTGTGCTATGGATAGTGTATCAACAATTGACCGTGCATTTTTGTGGGCGTGTCAATTGTTAATTATTGCTTGATACTTTGTGCGCGAAAAAATGAATTTCCCATTTTATCTGCTGCATATGGCCTAGCCATATGCAATATGGTGTAAGGCTTACAATTGTATTGATTTATTTATATTATTTATTTGCTTTTCATTTCTTTTGGTTTGCTGTCATTTTTTGCCTACTTACCGCTATCACATTCCTCGTTCACATTCATCTCCAGCATCTTGGTGTGCGTGATGTCCTTGTGCGAGGCCAGAAAAAGCACCACATCGCGCTTCTCATTCTTGATGGGCACAATGTCAAACAGACACCAAAAGGGAGCACCTGAATAAAGACAAGAACTTATTTAGTAATTAACTAAAGTTATCCCAAAGAACAAGTTTATTTTCTTACTTAAGAAATGCTTTGAACACGGAAAAAGTGATCAAAATCAAAAGAAAAGTAGTATGAGGCAGTCGAATCGAAGGCTGACGAAACAGTAAAGAATGTGAACATGAAGGACGTCAATAATTTAAACAACTTAAGGTAAATGCGGACCATGGAGGAGATTTAAGCTTAAACGGCTCTCGTTTAACTGACCATGGAGGAAGCATACGCAAAAACTGAATTGACAACGACGTAGAGTGAAAAGCGCGCGACTATATTTGTGAAAAGTATTTATTTAAATATTAAAATAACTATAACATTTCATTAAATGACTGACGAATGTCAGAAAAATTGTTATTGAACCAGAAGAAATAAAAACAGGATACAAATTATATAACTCTAGTAGTTATTTGATTTTTCGTGCCTTATTCATTTCAACCATTTGATTTGAGTATGTCAAATAAAATATACCCTTCCGACTGCAATTGACCACTTTGCGAGCATTTTGCATGTGGAACATATCGATTTTCACTTGTGGCTGCAAATTTCGGTCTTTTTGCCCAAAGATTTAAATGCGAATTTGTCATAAGCAGCCCGTTGTGTTCGACGCGAAAGCCTTTGTTGTGCCACGGGGGTGGAGTTAATTAGCGGTTAATAGTATGCAAAAAATGATTGCATTTCAGCTTAAGTAGACCACAATTATATAGCTGCCAGTTTTAATTATCTCGTTTGAGAAAGTCGCTCGAGGTGTTCAGACCACAGACTGATGCATAATTAATATGAATATTATTCTGCTAAAACGGGAAAAACCTATCTGTAGTCTATTAAAAGTTTTAAGCGAAGTGCTAATTAGAAAACTTATAGACAAGTTAATAGCCTAGACCAGTCGATATAATATCCAGGCAAACACTTCCTTAGCCTTTGGTCGTTTGGCTGATTAATCGTGACCTCATTAAAGCCCAACAAAAAAATAAAAATAAAAATAAGACATGCGATACGAACGTGCGAAAATGCTGCGAACAAATTTATTGTTTTGTGCGCCCACACACAAATACACACACGTACACACACACACACAACAAGTGGGTGTGCTGCGGCTTGCCAGGAGCTGCTCAGCTCCTGTGAGACTACGAGCAGCCACAGGCGGCTCCTGTCGATGGAAACTAGTTCAAGGCAAAGCCCCTAACTTAATAAAAGCCAGCTCATGCGAGCCACGCACTGGAAAATGGATGCGGCATCAGAAACAGCAGCAGCAGGCAGTATCTCAAATTAAAAGTCAATACGAAGATGGTTAAAGCTCCCACAGAGTGCCACAGGCAATACTTGAGCCACTGACTGCTGGTTTACCACCACACAAAAACTTGTTGTGCAAACGGCGCACGTGGACGTGTGCCACAATTGACTTACAGCTTTTCACTTATTACACTATTTGTTGTTTTTGTTGTTGCTTGGCCAGCAATTGTGATAATCCTTTTGCAGCTGTTTTCGAAACTTTACACAATTTTCTGTCACGTGGCAAGCCACAGCTTTCTAGTTGTGTGGCAAAGCGCAAACAGAACCCGTTTAAATACCAATGACACTTGTTGAAAGTTAAACTTAAATATTTAATTATTCAAGGAAAGTTGTTGGCACATTGCGTTGATTGCTTTTAGCACAGAACAAAACTAAAAATGCAAGTATTTAAATTGAACTGCTCAATAGTCAAGTGAGAGGTTGTGGAAAGATAGATTGTATTAAACTGTTGTAGCAGGTTACAAAAAAAAAAAACAAAAAAGACACTTAATGTTCTTAATGCAACTTTAAGCTTCCCTAAATAAATGCAGAAACTAGACTTTGAAAATCGTGAATAAGTTAAATTATATTAAACTAGCGGGTATAACCCGGCCTTGCCCGTGGCACGTATGTTATAAAATCAATGTTCTCAAACAAATTTGAAATGATTTTGAAACTGATCGGACGGTAAACAAATAACTTTCATACAAACATTTTCCGCCAATTTACCACTGTTGCGAGTGGAATTTCTCAAATCGCTGAAACACGTATTCATTACATTCTTATGTAGAGCTTTGAAAATGAGTTTGAAGCAAATCGGACACAATTTAAAACTTCGCACAAAAAATCTTTGAGTCGCATGCCACCCGAAAAAGTTTGGATTCTGCGAAAAGTGTGAAACACGTCTCAAATGATTTTTCTTATAGATCTTTGGAAACGAATTTGAGCGCGAAACGTCACCCACCAAATTTTTGACCTCCATTTCCACCAAGGAGGAACGGATTTTTCGAAAAGTATGAAACACCCCTTAAATGAATTTGAACAAAGATCTTTGAAAATAACTTTGGGGCCGATCGGATGGTAAACAAAAAACTTTCATACAACCCTTTTCCGCCAATTTACCAATGTTGCGGGTGGAATTTCCCAAATCGCTGAAATACGTAATTATTAAGTTCTTATGTAGAGCTTTGAAAATAAGTTTGAAGCAAATCGGACACAACTTAAGACTCACCCAAAAAATCTATAAATCGCATTCCCCCCGAAGAAGTTTGAATTCTGCGAAAAGTGTGAAACACGTCTCAAATGATATTTCTTATAGATCTCTGCTAATGAATTTGAGCGCGAAACGTCACCCACCAAATCTTTGACCTCCATTTTCACCAATGAGGAATGGATTTTCCTAAAAGTGTGAAACACCCCTCAAATGAATTTGAACAAAGATCTTTGGAAATAAGTTTGAGGCCGATCGCATGGTAAACAAAAAAATTACATACAAACGTTTTTCGCTATTTTTTCACATTTGTGGGTGGAATTTCCCGAAAACCCGTCTTAACGTGCACCTACATCACATAAGGTAGCTACAGTGAAAATTTCAGCTGATCACCAATCAGTCAGTCAGTCAGTCAGTCAGTCAGTCAGTCAGTCAATCAGTCAGTCAGTCAGTCAGGACAAACAGTTTTATATATAGAGATTAGTATGTTATGCAAAAGAACAGCCGCAGTACTTAAATCGACCACTATAAGACTGAAACAGGATATAACAATCACATGAGAGCTTTAAGTGACATTTATTGGATAAGTCTTTAAGATTAAGTGATAGCTTCAAGCCGTTTACTGCTAGGCATTGAGCCTCGCTCGTTGAACTAACTAACTATCTAAAACTCGCTAAGGATCGACTCGTCTTCCTCATAGCAATTGAATATTCTTTGAAACCATTTTTTGAGTAACTTCGCCTAAACAAACTTATAATGCGACCAGCCTATTCTAAAGCATAATTATCTATGCCCTAATCATTACACTAAGCAAAGTTCAAATGTAGATGTAGTCTGAAAGAGCGGAAGAAATCAGGGTCTGTATTTATATTATTAAAATATGCAATTTATGATATGCAAAAAAATATATGATTTTAAATTTCAGTCCAAAATCCGATTAGAAGATTAGTTTGGAAATTATGAACATCTAAAAAACTATTTTTTTTAAATAATGAAATCAAAGACGCAATCTTAAACAGGAGAGAAGCCATTATCAAAATGGTCTACTGCATGGAAATCATGTCCGATTTCCGAATTAACGAATGATCATTTTAAATATTAAAGTAAGAAAAATAATAATAATACAAAATTTCAGCCCAAAATGTTACTGCAGGCTACTGCTTGACAAATAAAAAACTTTTAATTTTTTGGTTTATCAAATATCACAATTCTCGACTAATTTCTGTAAACAGTTTCTGACCACATCCTTCGCCGTTGCAATAATATGAAATATTTTACATTTTGCTGCCACAAACAACTGAGGCATGTAATTTCCTCTTTGTTGCGCGCAAATTACCTCAAATGCTAAATGAAGTTTAAGCAAAAAAAAAATTGTTTTTAATTAAAAATGAAAACAATTTACCAGCACAAGTACGCACAATTTCTGGCCCGCCTTTGTTTTGCTGTTGGCTCTTACCTTCCTTTTTGTAGAAAATAACTTCCAACTTTAGTTCCATCTTATTTAAAAGACTTTTCTCAATTTGCTGCTTGTGCTCCTCCTTTGTATCCGGCCCGTAAAGGAAATGACATGAGCAGCCTGTTTCGCGATGTTGTTGTTGTTGTTGTATTCATTCGTTGTCGCATGGTTGTTGTTGTGCGTTGTCGTTGGCAAACAATTGAATAAAATGTACAAATACATTGAAATGAGTATTGAAGTGTTGCGAGCTGTTTGTCTGTCCGTCAACATGTTGCCAATTCCCCAGTCCGTCCGTCCGTCTGTGCAATTGTCTTACCCTTTTGCATAATTTGCGCGCGTGAATATCCTGTCAAATCCACGAACCCATCCGAGCAATAAACAATTGGATTGCCATTTGCCTGCGCATTGCCGAGCACAAAATTCGAATCTGCAAAGAAAAGCAAACAACAAAGTGAGAGAGAGGGCGAGAGAAAGAGGAGGAGAGAGAGAGAGGAGGACCATTAGGTTTGTCGGATATGTTTTCATCATATTATATCGTTTCTTATATAAAATGGACTACCTGCTGTTCAATTGTCTGACCGAAGGCCACTCACAATTCCCTTTTTGGCTTCAAATAAATAAATCCATAATAATTCTGGGTCTTATTTGCTTGGCTTGGTAACCTTTTAACATTTTGACCCGCCACCATCACAGTCTATTATTTTAACAAAATAAAAACTGCCAACAAGCAACAAATTTAATTAAATTTCAGCTACGCTCGGTGCTCTGGCTTCTTGCTCGTTCTCATTTTTTCTCTATCTGAGCTGAGAATAAAATAAAATTAAATTCTTGCAATGTTTTTTATCACAAAGTGTGGCGACTTTCCAGCTCCTGGGAGAGATACAAAAAAAAAAGAAGTCCAGCGCAAAAAAACGAACTGAAAATGCGAATACATGAAAATCATTTCATGAATTTCCTTTTCCAAGCAGCAGTAACATAAAAAATACATTTAAAATCATGAAACTCCTTTTGTTTGCATCAAATTGATGGATTTTTATCAATAGTAGTTTTTATATTGGTTAAGGGACGTTACGAGTCCATTTAATTTCATTTTTATTCAGTTAACCAGGTACAAATAAAATATGATAAAAATTGTAGCTAATGGACTTCGATTTCTGCCAGAATACTCATGTTAATTAAGCTTCTGAATGAGCTTTGCAATTCTAATTATGAAAATGTAAATTGATAGACTCCGTTACGTAAAACCGCAGCTGATTAAAGGTCTATTACGAGTCAGTTGTAAGTAGTGTAGCCAATGCGAGCAAATAGCCTTCCAGTATTGCTCGCAAAGCCCCATTTAAGCCTATTTGTTTGTGCTGACTATTGGCACTGCCATAAATAATTTGTATGCTCGTAAAGGGACAGCTATGAATAGCTATGAATAGCGATGAATACAACGAACATCAATTTGCACTCAATGCAAGATTAAACAGATGCAGCCGCACAAAGAGCTTGGCGTAAATCATATAATAAATCTATTGAAACTCTAACGAGGTTCAAGTTAAATGCAAATCTGACAAAAAAAATAACTTTGTTAATAATAAATGTGTGTAACATTTGATGGCATTAAAAAGTTAACTGACCTAAAAATACAACATGACTGCTGGCCACGTTCTCGGCATATTAACTACTTGACTGAGCAGCATACTGTTCGCACGCACTGAATTGCTGACAAGTCAAAATTGTTATACGTATAAACATCTATAAAGCAAATAAATATGTATGTAATTTATGGTTCTTGCACACAGTTTGTCAACGCATTAAATTTGTGCACAACAACAATCATACGCCATGTGCGCCCGGCCCACAAATTACTTGCAGGCTTTGGGCCCCTTAAAATGATTGCCTGTCGGCTGTTTATTTAGTATTATGTCTTGAAATCTGTGAGAATTAAGCTAATTAAAATCGCATAAAGAAGCTTTTGGAGAGAGGGAGAACGAAAGGGAAAGGTCAGCTAGGACAGAGACTGAGTTCACTATCTTATAAATACATGTGTAAGGTAATGTTGAATGTCATGTCGGTACAATAGGAGTTTTCGAAAATCACATAGTGGGGCAAATATAGTTGAAGTAAAATAGAAAGCAATAAATTACTAAAACAAATCGTTAAACAGGCTCTTAACATAAGCGCATGACTTAAATCGTAAAATCGCATAGAGAGGCGATGAAAAATTAACTAAAATAATAATAAATAATGCACCAGAACAAATCTTTTTAAAAACGCACCTAACATAAACCCAAAATTAAAAATATTAAAAACACTATGATTATTTTTGAGAATCGCAGAGAAAGGCATTGTTGACTAAGGTAGTGCGACATTAAACATTTAATAATTTTAAATGTAAGAAAGTTTAAAAACTATTTTTTTGAAATATTTGTATAATGTGTAAGTTTAACGAAAGAGAGTATCTAGTATTCTATAAGTATTACTCAAATTCCTAAAAATCGGCGAAAGAGAGCAAGAGAAACTAAGAGAGATAGAGAGGGGGGTAGAAATAGTCGGTATGATAATGAGTATTATGGCTAGGTTAAGACACTTAAACTGCTATCATTACTTGAGAGAGAAACAGAGAGAGATAAGAGAAGAATTGGTGATTATGAAGGTGTGATTATGAGTGTGAGAGCTAGATTAAGAAACTTAACGATATATCTACTTGCCCTTTACATACATTTCCTAAACCTCACAATACCTTTTCTTAGACAAGTTTGCGAGCAAAATGTATTAAAAACAATAAATAACTTTACATGCGCTTGCCTGACATTTTGGAAGGAAACAGGAAACTACTCATAACCAATCGATGTGCACATATGCTGCAAATGTCAAATAGTTCCATGTGACGCATTTGCCTCAAAGTGCAGCTTGCAGGCAAACGAAAGGTTAAAGGACAAAGGAAAATCAACATGCTTGTTATCATTGCACTTACAAGTTTCTGGCTAATGACATTTCCATTGTTTAAAGCACAAAAGTTGACACAGAAGTTCGGCATTAAAAAGGAAAAAACCAAAAAGCTTATGACAAATGGAAAACGTTTTACGAGCTTCCATGCGCCTGTGGCGCTTTTGTGTGTTCCGTTGCCTGGCGACAGGATACAACACACATATGTGTGTAGTTTTAATTTAGCAGTGCAGATTTCTATTGGGACACGCATTGTCCTTGCCCTTGTCTGCGTCCTTTTTGCCAATACGCTGTTCCTTGACTGTGTGCAAATTCAACGGTTCGTATTTTTTTGTTTTCTTTTATTTTTTATATATTTTTTTTTTTTTGGTATGCACCCATTCTGTGCACAAATTCTGTGATATTTTTATGACTCGCCGCTTGGGCTTATGCATACATGCCGTTATGTCCCGTTTTATCCGTGCCCGCTCAATAAAACACACATAAATAATACATTGAAAATTATATAAGGCTGAAGGACTAAGTAAATATCGTTTAACTTTTGCTTTTTATGGTTATGCTGGGCATTCTAATTTTGTGACGAAACGTCGCGCGTTTCCGGTGGAAGGCACTTCCGGGCCTATAAAGTATTAATCAGTACATCGCGCTGAATCGTCAAATTTGAGTATCTATTCGAAATAGTCTTCCAGTCACGCTATGTTAATGTAACTTGGAATATCTGTATTTCCTGCAGGCTATGTATATGTCGTAGTTGAAGGGAGTAGTTACAGGCTTTAGATCACAAAGTTCGGGATTTTGTACCCAAAACTGTGTTTGATAAATCTGGATAAAACTCCGCGAGCCTTAATTTTCATGGTCGTACGATTTAAAGTCACCGAATAGTTTCTACATTAAAACCTCTAAGAATGTCTGCATTAAAAATTTAAGGGCTGCATATAATGTTGCTATTATTTCCTATTAATCTCTATTTTTCAAATCATTTTCTTATGTATTTTGTACGCATGTACAATTTTTTTGCAGTATCAATTACTATTGCACTTTATTTAATTGAAATGTTCTCAAGTATATTAAATCTTTAACACCCCACAACGAAAGCTACTGTTTGACTTTTACTTACTCTCGTATATAATATATATATATTTTTTTTAACTTACGCGTGCCATCGAAGCGTGTGGCAATTGTGTCCAGGAATGTATTCTGGGGCGCTAACAGCCCCTTGCGGGCTGGCATAGGAATGGTTGCGGCCGGTGCGCCTACAGAAGCGCTGCTTCGTACTGGGCGAAACTGCAATAAGACAAATGACAGACACTTAATTAAATTAACAAGTGAATTTCGCTGTTAATCATTTGTAGTACATTTCACAATTGCAATTGTTTTGTTTGGATTTTATCACAGCTTATTTGTAACAACACATTCGCGTGTAGTTTATCAAATATGCAACAGGCACACGCACACAAAAGCTAAAAATTAATTTGTTTTTCCCAGTACCACGACGCCCACATTGATATTCAGTTTGTGCCACACTTTGTGGATAAATAGCGGTGAATAAAAAATTATAAATAGTCAGCATAGAATGGATTAATATGAATAAAAATGTGTCCCAAGGGCGACTGCTTGTGAGGATGTGTGCTAAAAACTAAAATACTTTTCAGAATATACCAATAATAGAAATCAACTGAATGGCATATCCCCAGGCAGCTTATAAAAGCAAGTACAAGCAACGAGAAGGGGCAAAGTAGCGAGTGAGCAGAACGACGAGAAGTTCAAATTCGGCGAGTAGATCAACAAGGTCACCAGTAACAGCAACGAGAGAAATTAACGAGAATATCTGAATATTGCATTAATAACTAGAAAGGAATATGCAAAATATAACACATCCCCGTGTAAAAAAAAGAAATGAATATGAAATAGATGTAGCAAATAACCCCACTAGAGATAAACAAGATCTTTAAATGCAACCTGAAGAGCCTATCCAGAAATTGAAAACTAACGAGAAACAATAACGAGTTGCAGAAAGTTACGACTAACAGCACAGTGAAAAAAACTTTTACTACGATTAGTTATAGCTAACGTATTTATTAGGTACCTTACTGTAAACACAGCTACGTGGCTGCTTTATGTTATTTTAGTTATTATTATTTTAAATAATTAACAAGCTTTGCCGCACATACCCTTTATCACAGCATAGCATGGGTATGAAAAGCTTATGTTGAAAATGTCGCACGCAGCCTGGTCAGTTTATTTAGCGTTGACGGCCCTTTATCACAATAAGCCAAAGTCGTTGTGGAAATCATAAATTTTACCTATCCAGAAATTGAAAACTAACGAGAAACAATAACGAGTTGCAGAAAGTTACGACTAACAGCACAGTGAAAAAAACTTTTACTACGATTAGTTATAGCTAACGTATTTATTAGGTACCTTACTGTAAACACAGCTACGTGGCTGCTTTATGTTATTTTAGTTATTATTATTTTAAATAATTAACAAGCTTTGCCGCACATACCCTTTATCACAGCATAGCATGGGTATGAAAAGCTTATGTTGAAAATGTCGCACGCAGCCTGGTCAGTTTATTTAGCGTTGACGGCCCTTTAACACAATAAGCCAAAGTCGTTGTGGAAATCATAAATTTTACTGACGTTTTTAATAAATTTTTTCATTTGTTTTTTTCAACACCCACAGGCAGCAGGAAAAGAGGTTACCACTCAGGTGCCGGTTCATGTAAATTCTGAGTGAAATTCCGAGAGGCAGCAACAGCAGCAACAACTGGCAACAACAATAACCGAGCTACCGCAAGACTGACAGCTGTTGCGCCAGAAAGCATCGTTTATATATTTTTTTATTATTTTTATTATTGAATGGGAAAATGAGTAAATGTAAATTTCCAAAGGCGATAGGAACGGGTATCCGTGTGTGTGTGCGAGAGCGAGGGTTAGCCAAATGTTTAGATTCTTATCATTTACCGTTGACATTTGATGCAAGCCCCAAAGTGGCAATTGATTAAGGTTTATGGTTATGGGCGACTGACATTAGCTGAAAATAATACGGATATTGGCGATGGAAATGTAGCTGAAAGTAGGAGGGGAAGAAGAGAGGCAGTGTGCCTGGTTTAAGCCTTAAAGCTTGATTAACAACTTTAATATTTATTCACTTAAGCTCGTTCTCTCTACCTCTAAAGTTTGCCTACTTACAGTTTATAATAAAGTCCATTTAAGCTGTAAAGCCCTATCAGCTGACCGCAATTTGCGAAAATTGTTCTCTAACTCTTGTCACTAATCTGTCTCTGAGGCACAGAAGCTTTAATTTTCGGCTAATAGTGTTTTTTTTTCGTACAAGCACAAAAGGCTTGAAGTTCGACCTACTTCTTGTTTTTATCTTGCATTATGTATTAAGCTCAAGCTCTAATAAACTTAAAGGAATTTTTTACTATCACAAAATGTCATTTGATAATTTGTTAAAGCATTTAACAACTGAAAGCTTTAAGCTCAAAAAGCCCATTCTTTAACCTCCTACGAGCTATTCTTTAACTCTCATGCTGCTTTGAGAGCTAAAGCTAAAGCTACAAATTTTCAGCTAGTGTCATTGACACACAGCAAGTCGCTCAACACGCCCACTTTTCATCAAAAATTCAGTGAAGTGATAAGCGCTTATGTGGCATGTATGCTTGGCTCTGATAACAGACGTTGCCTGCCACAGCGTTAATAAAGCCCATGGTAATCGCCTGCCCAGTTAGCTAAGCCTCATGTGACGCAGTCAGGTGAAAATTATGCACTCAACTTGCCAGCTGCAGTTGAACAGCAAATGCAATTTTAATTAATAGGCTAAACTCAAATTCCCTGCTATGTTTTCTGATGCACCAAATGATGGACGTAATGTCTAACCACAAAATTTTCATATCCAACATATCCGCTCCGAGGAGAAAGAATCAGGTGCAGGGCAACCACTAACATATGGCTACATGAATCTAGTTAACCCACACACACACACACACGCTTGTACCCACACGTACATCCGCATGTATGCTACTTAAACTGACAGCCGGCCAACAGTGTTCTATGTGTGTGTATGTGCAATTTCCGTTTCCGACTTATTCCACATGATTAGACTGATGATATGAGCACTCTCCAGCATCAGCTGCTCATGTGTTTGCCAGAGCATTGGCATTGGAGGATGCCATGAGCATACTTTACGTTCACGTTAACAGGTTTGTTGGTCAACGGCAAAAGCAGCAGCAACAAAAAAACATTAAAAACCAATTTCAGAAATTCAAATAACGAAAATATAAAAAATGCATTGGTAATGCAGGAAAAATAACATGCATGCACACACCAAAAAACTTCTTAGTTCAGATAACTAAAAAATATATTTATTTATTTGATATACCAAAAAGCACAAAACGTTAAAAAAATGGCAACAGGTAAAATAAACTTTACAAAATAAAAAACTTTTTTCCAATTAAAATAATAAACAACTATAAAATGAAATCCAGAAATTCAGCAGATCGTTGAGTATTAAAAAACTTTATGAATGCTTTACAAAAAAAAAAACTCACTTTACTCTCAGCTATGTGAAAAATATAGTTATTTACTTTCTATAACAAAAATCACAGCAGGTGATTAAATAAATAAAGCAGAATAGAATAAAGCAGAATATATATATTTATTTATTTAAAAATGTATCCGATGTTAAAAATCACAATTAAAATAAGAGCTGGAGGTGCTTGCTTTTCTAAGCAAACAAATCAGTTTAATTTCAAAACAAAGTCCATCTACAGTTAATACTAAAAACAATTATTTTAAGCAGCAAACTGAAGAGTAATGCAAACTCCTTAGCTTATTGACGAGATACTTGGCCAGGCTGCTCTGTTGAGGTACTTTAGCTGAGCACCGGGCCTTTTTGAAGTCAAGTAATTTAATAACATTAAAATAGATTGCACAAATAAATATGCAGCAAGTGCAGGGCCAGCGGCAACCGCTTGGAGCCTGCACTCATTTCACCTCTGGGAAAAAAACAAAATAAAAGCTTCAGAAAACGAACGAACAGGAACCCAAAATGCCCTTGCAACGTGAAAACGCGTCTGGCATTTTTAATTCCAATATATTTATATATAAATGTGCATGTATGTATTTGTGGCCAGTGGAAAGCAGAGCGTGCGTCACGTGCAACATTAAATGCGGCACGGAAATGCGATAATACATTTCACAATTTTTTTTGTGCCACAAATTTCACACACTTGTCTGGACGCAGAAAAATTGCAGGCAAGTGGTACATTTTATGCGGGTAGCGTTGATTAGATGCTCTTTCATATGGAAGATTATCCAAAATTGTAGCCAAATCTGTCATCATATTGAGAGGGGAGTTTGCATTCATACATTTTATAGAAACCTTTTGAGCAGAACTTTTTATGTAGACAGGTAAAGCTGTAAGCTGATATGTCTTGTTCGGATTAAAGTGATAGCTGCACTCAAGAAAAACATGTCTATCAAATTTCATCAAGGTAGCGAATCAGTAGCTGGAGCATTCTCAGTTTCACAACATCGATTCTTTAGACGGTATAAATAAATACACTTACAAGTATTACAAATATTTATAATATTCAACAGCACATCTATATTGGGCGCCCTAAGCCAATGTTTCAAATCCTACACATTTCTAAACTTCCAAAAATTGTTATCTATTCAATATCAATACTCTTAATATATATGTAGTATACTAGTTTAAATAGCAGTTAAAATGACAGTTTAATATAATAATATCGATAAAATAAAAAGCCAGGAGTAATAGTAAAACAACTACAATGAATTTCCATAAAAACCCAAAGCCTAATTCCCATCAAGAATACCTAAAATAAAGAGTTACAGCTCTGTTGAGAACCTATTCCAAATAGTTTCCGTTAGGGTAAACAAAGTTCGTAACGAGTACCTTAATTGGCATAGAATTTTTATTTGTATTTTATTGCAACAGTTAGCCACATGCCACTTGCTTAGTTGCTTTTCAGCGATTTGTTGGCATTGGCATTGCAAATGGCCGCTGGGCTACAAGAGTTGGTCCCTTTTGCCGCTTCGATGACGCTGGACGCGGCTCTGTATGAAGCCCTTTATGATCTTATTGCCATTAACGAGCACTGCGAAATATATATGCATATCCGATTCAAAACTGAAAGCGGGTATATTTTGCATATTGGAGCGATAACTGCGCACATAGATGAGCTCGTCCTTGGGAAAGGGACAACGCTTGGGCACATTACTGAAACTCTCCATTGTATGACGGCCCAGCTGTATAAACGGTATCTGATTTTTATTGGCCAGCAATTGGCAGCCATTGATGTCGCTCAGGTTGAACAGCGTAAAATCCTGACCGTTAACTCGTGGCAGCACACTGGCCATGTTAACGAGAAACTTTGGCACAGGCTGGCGAAACTTTAGCTCAATCGAGAAGGTGCGACGACGCCAACTTCTGCCCAGGCTGCAGTTCAAATGGGTGAGCAACTTTTCGGGATCATCCGAACTGCAGCTGCAGTTGTTAAACATCATAAAAAACTTCGTCTGCGGTCAGTTTGGAATTAATATTTAAAACAATTACTTTATGTATACCGTTGTTTACCTTTACGCTGGCAAAATGCACGGCCATGCTTAAAATGAACAAAAGCACGTAACAAAATTTTGAATTCATGTAACCAAAGGCAAGTTAAAAAACGAACAACTAAAAAACATTTCAAATGTACACAATAATATGCCTGTAATATATGAATATGTAATGTAAACAATTATGCACTAATTGCTTTAATAATTACACATCATAATTATTTTTATTTATTTATTATTTAGAACAGTAGGCCATTAAAAATGATTAACAATCTGCTTTGATTATAATGATGGAAGGTGAAAAAGGCAACGGCAAGTGTGTGTGGGTCAAAATTATATTTGTAAATTTGTGTATGGAATCAATTAAAAATCGCAGCACAGCTGTATAATGAGCTATAATAAAAAATTGGTTTGATTTAAATAATTATAAATAACCAGATATTCAACTTTTTCAAAAGCTACTTAGCATTGAAATATTAATGAAAGCTGTTCATATTTTTTACTCAAGGCTTATAAAAAAGGTTATCATTTTTAAAGATTCAATTCAATCGAACGCGACAATCCGCCCAACAAAGATCGGCGATTAGATCAACTTCTTTCCCTTTTTCCTCAATCCCCTTCATTGTTAATATCCCTCATATTTCCTTATCTTGACAGTCTTCCGCTCGCTATAGACCAGAAGGTACCGATCGATGCCAGCGCATAATAAAACAAAAAGTTGCTCAAAGAATTTTTAAAAGAAAATAGCTGTATAGTAATTTCAAACTATTCTCATGGACAATTCAACATTCGGTAAATTTGAGGTTCTTAAAATATTTTGTTTCTTTAGCTTCTATGTTTAAGACTTAAAAAGATATGTCGGGCTTGGTTATAATAAATAATACTAATGAATAATATTAAAGGATAAATTTAATTTATTTACTTAATTAAAAGTAAATAAATTACAAAATTAAATAAAAAAGGTTAGGAATATGTTCTATAAATTATAATATAACCTAAAAGTAATAAACATCATTATTATTATTGTAATTGTATGTATTACAATAAGATAATAATAATATCAATCCACATATTACCATTTAGTACCCAACTAAACTAACCCAATTTCAATTAAATTTGCACAGAGCGATTATACAAAACAAATCCAAATACGTTCATATTATATATATAACGTTCAAAGCAAGTTTATTTTACCACGCTGCTAAGCATTATTTATTCAGTCGAACATTAGTCAAGCCTCAGTGGCTGACAATATTTGCAGGCATTATTTGGCGATTTTGATTAACGAATAAAATTTACAATTCAATTGCTTTTGTTATTGCTTAATGAGTTTAGTTTGGAAGAAAGCGCAGATATGTACGTAACGCCCTTGGCATTTATCGCCGTTCTTTTTGGCTATCGACTGGTTCAGCCGATTGCGGCCAAGGTGCGTATACGTAATGGGTAAGCCATTGCTTTACGCAGTTTTTTATGTGCTTACAGACGGACTTTGAGCTGCAGTTCGAGAATTTTACATGCATTCGCGGCAGTGCTTCAAAAGCAAATCCCCTGAAGAGTTTCCATTGCGGTCTCAGCAAGAATCCCAAACGGCGCACTATGCACATGGAATTCGCGCTCCTGGAACCGCTTAACGAGCACGAGTTCCACATGCTCATCGTAATACCCCGTCGCACAGTGGACTTTGTGCTGCTCAATGTGACCACAGACGGCTGCCAGTTGCTCTCCAATAAGAATCAGGTGCCGCTGCTGCGCATCGCACGCGATATACTTGACCGCTACAGCAATTTTCCTCGACATTGCCCCTTTGAGCAGGGCAAGGCCTACTATATGCGCGGCTTCCGGCTGGACCTGAGTCTAATACCAGCTGCTATGATGGAAACTCCAGTCTCCGTTCAATTTGGCTATAAACGCCGCCAAGGGCAGCTATTTCAAGGCCATATTGTGGCCCATGTGCAGCGCACCAACAATGCCAAGAAGAAGAAAGACGTCTAAATAGTGCGGCTTGGAAAAACAGAAATATTTGACTTTGGCTTACTGGTGTCCTAGTAAATTTACACCTGAATATCTCTTCAGCAGAATTTACTGTGTTTTAAATAACTTCTGTATTATTTTAACAATTCCTTTGAAATTTCAAGAACAACAGATTTCCAGAAAAATATACGTATACCAAAGAGCACGACTTTTTCTAAGAAGTTAGAACAGTTGCCATGGGAGTGCCAGAGATCAAACAACATAGCAAATTTGCGATAAGTTTCTATGCTCAATTATCGACCAATGCAGGATTCATTGAAAGCATTAGAAGCAATATATTTTATAAATTTCTATATATCTACATATATATTTCTATATATTTATATATTGCATTCAGGGCCATGCGGTTAGCGATTCGAATACCAAGCTAATATTTCGATGCATTATTGTCTTAACTGAATGCTATAATGACGAATACTGATAATTAAACAATAATAATAAAAATAGTAATAATAATAATAATAATAATAATAATAATAATAATAATAATAATAATAATAATAATAATAATAATAATAATAATAATAATAATAATAATAATAATAATAATAATAATAATAATAATAATAATAATAATAATAATAATAATAATAATAATAATAATAATAATAATAATAATAATAATAATAATAATAATAATAATAATAATAATAATAATAATAATAATAATAATAATAATAATAATAATAATAATAATAATAATAATAATAATAATAATAATAATAATAATAATAATAATAATAATAATAATAATAATAATAATAATAATAATAATAATTATAATAATAATAATAATATTGATAATAATAATAATTGTAATAAAAAAACTAAACAATAATTATAACAATATAAATATTTTTAATGGATTCAAACTAATCTCCTTCCATTTCGTGACAAGATTCGATCCCCATCTTCTATATTTTATATAAAATTCAACACATGAAATTTCATGTCATCTTGAAAATCGTAAATGTAAGGAACACAGCTAGACGGACAGAATTTTTCACCTAAAGCTATAATTGTTGAGAAACCTTAAACATTTGGCTCATGAACAAGTCACAGACAGAATGGGAGAATACGCAAGTTAATTTGGATATGCGTCTCGTGGATTCTCGTTTAGCCAAAGGATTAGCTCTTTGTAGATGACAGACAATACGCTCAGATCAATGAACTACAGACAAACTAGTCTAAATTCGACGATGCTAGTCAAAAGAAGAGCTGTAAACATTTGCCACTGTGTGTCTGGCCGTCTGTGGCAAGAGCTCGCACTACTTTATGACACCCTTTTGATGGCCAATTTTTTTTATGGTTTTCAGGGTATAAAAAGTTGACAGCCGCAGCAGCAGTACATATGGCCTCGAAGTTAATATAACAAAAAAAAATAATATAAAAAAGCCAGCTGTCTGGCGTTGACAACGTGAACACAGTCGCAACACCTGATGTTGCAGCACTTAGACACGCTCTGTCTCTGTCGTTGTTGCTGTCCCTGTCCCTGTCCCTGTCACTCGTACGTGGTGCACTGTGTGGCAGCAATTTGTTCTAAGCCATTCAACAAATGTTGTTCAATTACCGTTTGCACACACACACGCGCACACACCTGCACACACACTTTGTTGCAGCCGCTAACAGAGCTATTGTCTGTCTGGTTGCTGCCACATGGCGTTTGACAGTCGCAATGACAATTGGCAACTGCCAACTGGCAACTGGCAACAGACAACTAATAACATTTTCATCCGCCATGGACTGTTTGTGCCTTGGGGGGGCAGCAATGCTGCTACCTTGGGTTCGATCTCTGTTTGTCAAATGATTTGTTACAGTTTCCCATTTGTGCACTTCCGGCGCCTGTCACATGTGCTAGCTACATGTTAAAGTTGCCAACTGGCTTTTAATTAGACGTTAGAGATTTGCATGTGTTGCCTACCCACTGCCAACCCGCTCCCCAGCGACCCTTCAGCATTGTTTAACTTAACTGTCAGTTTGGCAGCAGCACCAGCAACTGCTGTCAGCATCGATTTTGCAACAGTTTGCAGCAAGTTTGACTTTGGCATCTTGAAATTCCCCCCTTTGAGACAGCTAATTGGACTGGCTTTAATTGCCTCTGCGGTTGTTGCTGCTCCTGTTGTTATTGTTCTTGCTACAGCTGTCTGCCGCCTTTGGCCATCTAGTTAATTTATGAAATTTCACACACAGATCCAGCTCCGAATTTATTATGCATACGATTATTTCATTATGCCCATTAAGCAAAACAATTAAGTAAAGCTCCTGTCAAATGCGGGCATTACCGCCTTGACAGCATGTTTGTTATGCCAAATGCTTGATGTTTAACTTCTTATTTCTGGCAGAGCTATCACGCGCTCCAACATAGTGTCAAATTTCGTTTCCTTTCTAGAGCCTTTCTAGTTATGTAGGCAAAATTGTAGCCATGGTGTCTTCTAATCTTTTTGTCGATTTGACAACATGTTCAATTATTAACATTAATTAATTAGTTAATTAAATTATCATTAAGTTTGATATTTGTCTTGTTTCTTCTCAACCAAATAAACAATGCAAGTTATGCTTAAAGTTTCGAATATTTCAAAATATTAAAGATATTAACTGTTTGCCTAAGAAAACAGATTTGGTTGATTTTGTCTATACAAAATATAACATAAACATTTAATGGTTGTTAGTTAAACTGCATACTACTACATAAAGGAAGTTCTTCTATAAAACTCACTAAATTTTAATTCAAAATAAAAAAAAGATATAAAAACACTCACAAAAGATTTCCCTGTTGAAGTAGCTATAGTTACCTGGATTTTATGATAATTTTATTAAACTGTAGAACAATTTAAAATCCATTTGCAAGGGTATTTAATCGCGTCTCTCTTGCCCCATTTACTTGTGTTGCATATTTAATTTTTACCGCTGTTAACCTG